GTTTTTTATTATTATTATTATTATTATTATTATTATTATTATTCTTGTTGTTGTTACTAGTAGTAGTAGTAGTAGTAGTAGTAGTGAGTAGTGTGGTGGCGCCTGCACCTCCATAGGCATCAGTGAATTGTGCCCAAGTACATAAGAACGTTCAAGAACTATTTGCAATCATGAGGACACCAGAACACTTCATTAAGTACCTCTACACACAACAGTCCTACCTGCACAGTCACCACTCCATACTAACCTGGCTTATGAGTTTTAAGAACCTTGAGCAACAAACCGCACAATGGATTCACTGCTTACAAGAGTACAATTCCACTTCCAAGCACCATTAAGGGCAAAACACAACAATGTCAATGTCCTTTCCCAACAACCATACTGAAAAGAGGGTACACACTGCCAAAAAGTCAAGGTGTAGACAGAAGTCAAGCAGTTATAAGCTATTACAGGTGCAGCCAAAGCCACCTGGGATTGAGCTGCTCTGAGAACAGAACAACTGAACGACCAAGACACAGGGCCCATTCTGGAGGAAGCAGAGACAAGACAGCATCCAGATTGGAAAGACACTGCTGACCAGATCCCCATGTACAAAAACTACTGGGCCCAAGGGATATCCCTCACTGTGGGGAACGGCATACTAAAGTACCACTGGGAATTCACTGACGGATGATAAAAAATAACCCAGGTAATTCTCCCTCAGAGCAGAGTGAACACCATGCTGACTGTACTACATGGTGGACCAGCAGGTCATTTGGGTGTCAACAAGACCCTGGATAAGGTCCTGCAAAGGTACTACTGGCTCTGGGCAAGAAATAATGTTGAGAAGTGGCATCACCAGTGCGACACTTGTGCAGCTAGTCAGGGCCTCCAAACCAGGAACTGGGACCAAATGCACCAGTAATTAATTTTTTTTAATTCATTTAGTGGGGGATGGAGTCCAACTGGGTCCACAGGAGTACCACAGGAGCTACATAGTGACCAGGGACATAACTTTGTGTCTTGTCTAATGCAGAAGGTTTTGAAATGCATAGTAGTGAGCAAGATGTGCACCACACCCCTGCACCCACAATAGGATGGCATGGTCCAGCACTATATCAGAAGAGTCAAGGAGCACCTACAAAAAGTCGTAGCTTTGCACCAGAGGGATTGGGATACAAGATTACCCATCTTCGTCCTTGATTACAGGGCATCTACATATGACACTACAGGCTTAACCCTGGCTAGCCTAGTGTTCACAAGAGAACTCTGGCTGCACTGCAACTGTCCCAACAAGGGACAACTCACAATCAATCATGTGGCGAAGTTAGTGGCCCATTTATATGACATCCATATGCCCGCTAACATTTGAAGCTGGCCAGTAACTGGATGAAAACTCATTATAACAGACTGCCAACTGCACAGGTTGCCATGAGAGTGCCAAAGTGTGGCTCTATCACCCTACCCACAAGAAGGGGAAATCACCCAAGCTCCAATCTTCATGGAAGGGCCCATACAAGGCAGTCATCCAGACAAATGATGACATACAGGATCCAATGGAACCCCAGATCAAGGGTGATGGTGGTACACCTGGACTGGCTTGCACCTTATCAGGGAACCACTCAGAAAAATGCTGCCTTAAGAAGGGAGCAGCAGGAGCAGCTGGAGAGTAATCACAATGAGAACCAAGCCACAGGGAAGGAAGGTGAAGCCAATTACAGATGTCAGAAGCACGTTCCTCCAGAAAAGAAGAAATGGCAGTATTCCTGTAGGCTATTTGAGACAAACAGCCATAAGGAGGGAGCAATGTGGCATATACAGGGTGTCCCAGGAGGAATGGACCAAACTTCGGGAGGGTGTTCCTTATGTTAAAGTATGCCAATATAACCCAAAACACCTATGTCCAAAGTTGAACGGTTACGGAGATAATGGCCCGAGAAAAGTGTGGTCTTCTAGCGGGTCCACGCACTGTACCTATCAGCTGAGACTCTTATCTGTTTGTCCTTGAGTGTTGTGATTCACAGTTGCCGTAATCTCATGTGCTACTTACAGAGGCTACAGATTACGTTGCGGCGGGGTCGTGAATGGGTGGTAAATTAGTTGTGTGATGAGTTGCTGAAATATGCCTCTTGTGTTTTCACACGTGGAATATTGTGATATGCATTTTGTGTGTGGATTTTGCGGTGGCAATGCACGTGCTGCTGTTGAAGAATACCAAAGGCGTTTTCCCGATCGAAGGATTCCATCTCGAAGTGTATTTACGCGAATTCACCAGACATTGCGTGATACTGGTTCTCTTGAAAGTGTTTCTGTGCACTCTGAAAGGGAGGATGTACGAATGATAGACACACAAGAGAACATTCTTGATATTGTTCACAGAAGTCCGCGTCTGTCCACTCGTAGAATCACCTCCCGCATCGCCGTATCACGTATGCAGGTGTGGCGAACTGTACATGATGAAGAGTTATCCTTACCATGATCAACATCTGGAACCAGGCGACCATGCACAGCGTATGGATTTGTGCCACTGGATAAAAGCTCATTCCGAACTGTTAAGCATCATTTTATTCAGTGATGAGGCGTCTTTTACCCTGGATGGTGTAAATAATTTATGAAATGTGCATACGTGGTTCCATAATAATCCACATGAGATAATGGATAGGAAATTCCAAAAGAGATTTTCCGTGAATGTACGTTTAATACAGTTATAGCACAGTCAGCCATATTACGTCAGCGCTTGCCAGTCATGTGTCATATATAGTGCTTGGAAACCCTCAGGACAATTATGACATGGCGAGCGAGTATTTTGTACTTCAATTTTATGGCTTCACATCACTCACAAGTTAGTTTGATGTTACATACATTATTAACATTACAGAATCCACATATTCCTGCCAGTTTTAATAAGTATTTTGTAATCAACAAGTGTGTAACAGCGGTCAAAGTTTGACACTTCTCTGGCCATTATCTCTGTAACCGTTCAACTTTGGACATAGGTGTTTCGGGTTATATCGGCATACTTTAACATAAGGAACACCCTCCAGAAGTTTGGTCCATTCCTCCTGGGACACCCTGTATACTGTAGTTCAATAAATCCAATACCCATCTACAGTCACTCAATCATGTGACAATACACCTCTTGTGCTTACAACTGCTGACTAATTTTCACTGTGGATCAGAATAGCTCTGTGCACATATGCTAAGGATTTCTGCCTAAACCAAGTAAATTCTCTTTTTACACATACAAATCTCAAATTTTGAAATGTAGACTCGCCCCCCAAAAAAGGGACAGGACCACTGTGTGGTTTAATGGTACCTATCCCGACTGCCAGCTACAAACAAACCTACAATTACGGCTTGTCCCAAAAGGCATGGAAAAGAAATTGTGGCTGATTATAAATCACTCATTATGACAAATTACAATGAAGTTGCAGTTACAACATTTACAGGTTCTGCTACAGTTACACTATATTCTAATCTTTAATGACCCTTCAGTATCAGACACATGAGTGGGAATGCCTACACTAAATTTACAAAGCCAATGCAGTAAGGCTTATTATGTCCAGAAGTCATCAGTGGTGATTTTGGAATAGTAGGATCTGTACAAGATACTGAAACCTACTTTAAGACTTCCCTAGGGAGCATCAGATTTGAACACCAAACTAAGGAAAATCTTAAATGGAGGAAATTTAACACTGATGTCATCAATTTAAAATCACTGAAACTGAGAGTTAGGCACATGAGATCCGTAAAACAAGGCACATTACAAGATGTGCCACTGTGTGATGTTATAATACTGTCAAGTGTAGGGTGACATGGGTGCTGAAAATAACGGGTTCTAGTTTGGATGATGGGATTTATTAGTACTCTCGTTACAAGTTCTCTTAACAACACCTAGTTACATTGCCATTGCTGATTTGCACACTTTCCAATCACCATTGCACACACACTAGAATGCCCAGTCTCCACAAGTTGTCTCCTTGCAACGGATCTCAATAGAGAAACTAGCACTTCAAATCACTATGAAGTCTTTTCGCTATTTTGTCTTTAATCACTCTGGAACCTCAGAACTAAAAATTATCCTGGACTCTCTCTCCAGCTTATGGCTGACTCATAACTGCCAGATGAACCGAAATAATGCTGTCACTGCATTCACTTCCCTTATAAGCTCTCCGCACAGATCCCATGGAAACCACCATCATTGTTGCTGACGTCCTGCTTACACAAGACGAGTTTTTACTGAGCCATTTCTTAGAAATGGGTTGCATAACCCCGTTGTTCACCATTGTTTGGCGCGGATGACATAGAAAACACAGCCTCGTCGATTGCTGCGTGTTGGACCGTGTTTACAGAGCTGCTGCCTGGCCACATGTTGATCAAATCTGTTACAATATTTTTCATCTTGGATCTATACATCCATTCACTGCAGAGTGCTGAATTAGTTAAGCACAGGGACAACTTTACCTTTATACTTTTGCATGGCCTTGATAACAAAATGTAGACCCCCTGTGCCAAATGCATATTACACAAACAATAAGTGACAAGAATAGATAATGAAAATAAACACGGATGTGATGTTTGAAGAATGCTGACTGTGGATATTACCGCTTTTCACTGCATTAATAGGGCACTTCTTGACTGTAAAAATTACTGATCATATATGTCATTCTAAGAGAAGCTTCTCTATTTAACAATATTATACTCAGAGTGCATTAGGATACACTCTTTATGTCAAAGTCTCTCCCTAAGCATAGCAACATCAAACGTCTACTGAATTATATTTTTTAATTACTCTTAGCTCTTAGTGGGGTGAGACTGAGTCCACTTGGTACTGCGGCCACTACTGGCTTATTTGTACCAGCCCCAGATGACAGATAATGGTGACTGTGGAGCAACTGGTGGGATGAAGATTGGTACGGGAAACTGAAGTACTCAGAGAAATCTCACCCCAGTGTCACTTTGCCCACTACAAATTCCACATGACCTGACCCAGGCTTCCATGATGGGAATCCAGTGACTAACCCCCTGAGTTATGGTGGGCCCTTCTATTGAATTAAATTCTTCTTCCATAAATAAAACAACCAAAACCAAATTTCATGATTTTAGTCTGCAAGTGAACTATAACGATTGATCGACCGCCGCTCTTCAGTGAAGTTAGTGCCAACTTTAGGGGGTATACGGTGTCACGTGGTCAATGCAACGAATCCCCATGGCCGTTAATTTCGGTTTTCTATACCGTGGCTGCTATTTCCTTGAAATAGTTCCTCACTTATCCTCATGAGGCTGAGTGGACCCCGTTCCAGACCCACTACTTCTCAGAAAATCTGCTAGCGCCGGGAATCGAACGGAGACGTCTGAATCTGTAGCCAGGAACTCTGACCACTAGATAAGAGAGGCGGTAAATTCTTGTCCCATGAAATCAGTAAATAAAATAAACTGATATAGAGAACTAATCTATTTCCACTATCTAAAAATATTAACATTTGAATCCTTACATTCCTGTTTTACAGAAGGTACGTTGATTGGCCAGAACGGTGCTCTAGCTGCATGACGTGGCTGGATCAGATGCCGACAAAGCCGACGAGAGATACGGGTAAGAGGTGTAGTACATAAATAGAAGGCAGTGCGTGTCTTCATTATTGGGCGTGGAGAACCAGACCTGATTGCTAGACCATGAGCTGTGGCATAATGTCGAGCAAGATGTGCTTTTAACTTGAACTCCTGCAAAGATTCAATAGTAAAAACATTACCAGGAAAATCTTCTCAAGATCACAACATAAACAGAAAGAAACCTTTATTACTAGATAGAAAGTATTACAGTAAACAGGGTAGCAAAGTAAAATTAAATTAATCAACCTGGTCTGGATGCAAAAATTACAGAAATGTTGTTACTTCCATTTACTTCCAAGTTTCAAATATAACCTCTTCATCTATCTCATTGGTAGTAGGAGTATTGGCAGTGGTGGTGGTGGGGGCACACAATAGTGTAGATGGTTGAGGCACTATGCTACAAGCCAAAAGGTCACAGGTTCCATTCCTGATGAGGTCATAGGATTTTGGATTGACCTAATCCTTCCAGCTGCATTCAGGTCCCAGAGTCGACTCAGCCTCTAACAAAAGTGAGTACCAGTATTCTTCCTGGGGGGTAGGGGTGGCCATGCATAAGGGTGACAACCTCACCCCCATCCATTAGCCAACTGTCTAGAAAATGTGAGAACCTTGACATCTCACTACCCTATGGGCCTCAGAGCCCGTTACAGGTGTTGCGGACCAATTTTGAGATTGGAAATTTAAGGCATTGCCTTAAAGTTATGAGACTTGCAAAAAGTGTTTTACAGCCATTACATTAGTATGTCAACACCTGGACAGGCAACTAGGTTAAGAATGTTGATGATCAGCATTTATGCGTAATCGCACTAGCAAGAAGCTTGCCTCACTCGGCCACTGGAGATGGTAATATTATTATTTATGCAGCGATGAGACACCATGGGCCCACCCACAACCACCGAGAATAGCCAATTAGAATATAACTTTGGGAATTGAGAACAGAAAGAGGAGTTAACCTCCCTCTTTCGTTAACAGCCGATTCAGCAAGTTAATAATATAAATTGCCGAATTTAGGAGACTGAGAGATCTGTTCTAAAACGTAATAACGAGTTGTCAGTCGGAGGCTCTAGCCAATATGGGCCTTACGAGTGGAGGAAGTGGGCCTACGTCTTCTATTTCAAGTAAGTCACGTTCACTCATATAAGCCATATTGTTAATTATTATTGTTGATAAAAGTGTTGTGGAAAATATCGAAAGCAAACTCCAATGTGCTCGGCGAGCCCTTAGGGGAGAGTAATAATTATGTAACAAGTAATTGCCTAGGAAGATGGTCCGGCAATATGTCTGTGTTATGGAGTATGTGTTAAGATTACGGGCAGAGTATTTTAAGGGAGAACATGAGGAAGCATAGGATGAAGTAAAGACCCTATGTAGACCCGACTGTAGGTCGGTCTTGTTAATATTGTAAATAATGTAAATAAGAGTGTAAATAGACAGGGTAGTTAGAGTAGGATGTACCGGGATTGTGATTCACACCTCAAAATCACCCTTCCACGACCGATCCCGAGGATCCTACCAAAACGAAAGGCAGCAGCAGCCGAATGCTTAAGGGGAGGTACTAGGAATGGACAGGGATAGGCACCTGCCACGCAGGCAGCGTTTAGTAGCCTTGGTATCAACGCCCCTTAAGAATCATAATAATGAGTTATATGTCGCTACCTGCAGACTATATGAGGAGTTGTCAAGAAGGAGCTATGACAATATGTCAGGGGGTAGTTCCCACCATAGAGATGACAGGCGATAGGTAAAGGCGGGTCAGACCTGACACGCCCGCTCTACGCCAATAATAAGAGGTGACAAGGATGAAAGGGCCAGCCAACAGAGGACGCTCAACTACCGCGCTACCGGCCCTTAGTACTTTCATCACCTCTCTTAGTATTTTCACCAACCTTCGTACAATGTAATAGTTAGTGGCAGCTTTAAGTAAGGAAGGAAGCCCCGAAATAGGAGAATCCTAGCTGAGGGTAAGCTAGGATTATGGTGTTAACTCCTTACAGCGTAAGCTGTGGTGGCAAGGAGGGGTACCTCACGCCCCCCTGCTCCATGGCGTTACAAGTGGTGGCAGCGGTGTGATAACTCCACGCCCCCCTGCCACCACGGCGTTACAAGTGGCGGCAGCGGTGGGATACCTCCACGCCCCCCTGCCGCCATGGCGTTACAATAGGGAACTGCTTTGCAGCAGCAACTTTAATGGGCGGATCAAATTCTGCAGCTTTTGGACTGCTGAGTACCTCAACTAGAAACGTACCACTTCTTAACCAACTGGCACTCTTTAACTCTCCCAGCTATGGTGTCAAGGTTCTTCAATATATAAAATGGATTCAAATTTCCACATGTTTTTACAGTTCAAATAAGCTGAATAGTTAGGAAAAGTGGGGGTAGCATTTGTCATTCTGACATGCATTAACACAACAAACAGAATTCATTCCACTGGGCTCTCAATCTTGTAATAAAGAAACTGAATGCAAATTAAGACATGGTTAGAGCCCCCCCAATTAACAACCGCCAGTGTTAGCTTTCCACTGGAAGGCGATGAGGGTTTGACACCTAAGTCATCAGGTCTCACTGGTGTGGTGGCCTCCACAACTCAATCTTAGGAAATAAATCAGTAGGCTTTCCCTTCCAAACAACTGCTGAAAATTGGAAAAACCTGATGACAAGTCCTACACCACTGGCAAGTAGAAAAGCCTTTACCATGGCAATGACTGTCAATGGTTCCCCAAACTATGCTCCACAAATGTACACACATGTGCAGGTGCCCACATTGTGTGCAGGCCTACATAATGCTCTGAAGTGGAGACTCAACTAAACTGACTTCAAGCTAGCGGCCACTGTTTTATGTTCAAGATTCTCCTACAATGGTCCCATGCCTTCCCCAGTGGACCAGGCACCATGCTCCTAGAAGGGCTAGGGACAGCAGGGAGATTTGAAATGTTCAGCAGCAACAGATGTGCAGATGCCCATTCCATGCGCAATATCGTGAATTCTGCAGTTAAGTGTATGGCATGCAAAAGGGGGCTAGTGCAGAAGATGTAAAAGGTGAGAATAGAATGGTATAGACATATGAAAATGGTCAAAGATACTGTGCTTAACAGACATCGTTCACTGCCAGGCAATCACACAATAAACATGCTATGACGTCATCAAACAAGGAGCTACTGCTATGCAATAAATAAACACATAACAACACAAGAAATATTTGAGATGGCACTTTCTGTGCAGTCAAACCAGTAGCTATGTAACAAGGGCCAATGAAGACATAAGTTAGTTAGCTGAGAATCCACAGCTGAGTTAGTTAATTGTGAGGCAGTCATCAGCTGGTTAGGACATAAGCACAGGACACTGTTCAGATCTGTTACCAGGCAACGGCTAAAGGGCCAGTGAAGACATAAGTTAGTTAGCTGAGAGTCGACAGGAGTAACTGAGACTTTCTTAAGGGCACATGTTACAGGTAGTAATGACGCCATCCTCAATGAGGTTAGCCGAACCATGGCTGTCCCTTTGGTGGGGACGCATCATGGACCAGGGATGTGTTGGTACACCTCCTCATGGTCCCACTGGGCAACGACAGTCTCGGGGTCTGGACTAGTATGACCTACTAGGACTGGCAGCTATGTTCCCATAAACGGCAATGGCATTATGACTGGAGCCTCCCACACGACGGCACAATGACTCTTGGGTATCACTATGGTCTACCCGGGACAAATGTGGGAGAGCACTTGTATGGGGGTAGCTTCGGCTACTTGAGCTGTCTCCCTAGAGTACCAATAAGGTGCCACAAGCCTTCAGGCTCAACACTGTAAAACGGCTTCACTAACCAATGTGGAGGGGTGGGAATGGGGGAGCTTATAGGCCACCCCCAGGGGCAACTCTCTCATGCAAGTTTCCCTGGTCGCAACCTCATGACTAGCTGGTATTACACTCCCATTGATCATCTGGGATACCCCTCTCCCCCGAACAGGCACTCTTGGTCCTGGAGGCTTGCGAAGGTCTTATTCATTACAGGACTAAACCATCTAAGCCAAGGTGTAAGGCATCTTGCTGAGGGCTGCGTGGCACTGGGGTGGTAATTAGCCAGTGTCATGAATGATCCCCTCAGGGATCCAGGCAACACCCCATTGTATTTATGCCTTCCACCTGTATGGAGCACTGCGGGTGAAAGACCTTTTAAATCCCTATGACTCGTGGAACCAAAATGAATAAAGGAACCAAATCTAAAACTGGCTGTAATGACCTTAAAATGAAGAGAGACCCCCTCCAAGAAATGCTTCAGCAGGGGACTGGAAGCTCTGATGAACCATTAAGGGGCCAAGTTGCAACCAGCAAACTTTCTGTTGAAATTTCAGGCAAAGGCAAGGACGAACCAGTGGTTCAAAACCTGCCTGAGGTAAAACCAAAAACTACTCTCTTGGGAGTCATTAGTACTGACATACCACTGCAGGGGGCTAGTACTTCTAGCACACCTGCAGCATGAGAAGGTCTGGGACACTTAGTCTCTGGAGTAGGTGGACTCCATCTAGCAAAGAAGGCACTGCCTGGATGCGATAGATGGAAATTAAAATAGGCAAGAGCTGGGGCAAGCAAAGCAGGAACTGGGGGCAGTCAGCAACCAGAAAATGCTGGCTCACACAAGCAGGGAGAAACCCCCACTGAAACCCTTAAGAGGCCAAGGTCGGGGGGGCAGTACCACTATGGAAACGGCCAGAGCCTGGAAAAGGCCCAGGGACTTACAAGGAGGCTCTGACCAATATAAAGGAAACATATCCTGAGAATAATCTTACCGAAGATGACCAGAACTCCATTCTGGAAGCACTGGCGAAGGTGTTATGTAGGACTCCAAAGGGAGAACTACCACAACTGAAGTCCTACAGACTGAAGGGAGGTGCACTTACTTATATATGCACTGACCAACAGTCTGGTCAACGGCTCATCAAAGTCACTGACAACTACAGGCTGGAATCAGGGGCCACGCTGAATACTACTGATGCCAGGAGCCTGCCCAAGCCTGTTAAAGTGACTCTCCAGATTAGGGACAAAGTTGCCCAGAATCAGGAAGAGCTGCTGAAATGGACTGCAGACCTCAATTCAGGACTCCATACTGAGCACTGGAGAGTACTAGAAAAGCAATCTGAGCCGAAAGGGCAGAGGCTTATCTTACTCATAGACTGGGACTCTTATACTAATATTCAGAGGACGAGTTACAAGATATTCACAAGGCTCTCACAGGGGACTGTTAAGGTGCTGAAAGATCCTGAAATTCAGCACCGGGCAGAACCTGTGTCAGACATAGTATATTCAAATTCAGTCTCTGAGGGAGAGGGGGATGATATACCCACTCCATCAGATGACCTAAGTAAAGCGGATCAGGGGACCCCTTCACACAGAACCCAGTGCAAGGATGGGGAGGAAAATAAGACGGAAACTGATCCCTCCCCAAATGGAAGTGATAACTAAACCAAACTATACATTCACCTAACACATCTATACACATACACACACTATGAAATTCCTTCAAATTAACTTACACCACAGCAAAGTGGCCACGGCAACTTTACACCAGCAACTAGATGAGGGAAGAGCAGATGTAGCACTTATTCAGGAACCTTGGTTATACTAGGGTCAAACAAGGGGTTTAACCAACACAGATGGAACAGTTTTCTCTGATGCACCTGGTAACAATGCGAGACCCTATGTTTATACCAGGAATCATATTAATGCCTTACCTCTACTGGAGCTCTGCTCTAGGGATGCAACATCAGTGAGGATGAAATACACATATCGAGGAGGTTGAATGGAACTGACTGTTGCTTCAGTCTACCTTCCATATGGCTCAGATGAACCACCACCAACTAAGGAAATGAGGGACATCACAGACTACTGCTACAGCAGGAAAAAGCAACTCATCATTCGGTGTGTTGCCAACACAGACATTTTGTGGGGGAGCGCCGGCACTAACCCAAGGGGAGAGAGCCTCATGGAGTTTCTGGTGACTTTGAACATGAATATTACCTTCAGGAATCCCAGGAGAACCAATTGGGAGTCACACAAGGACAATCTAAAGGTGAGCCTGGAGATTATTTTGCGAAATATAAGCACAAAAACGGACACAAATTGATCTGTTGACCAGTTGCAATGGGCCAACATCTTGTCCTATTATCATAACTGTCCAATAAAATGCTGAGTGGTCTAAGAGTTAAAACAAGAAAGCTATTTAATATAGCGAAAAGGACAGGGCAGTGAGACACTTACAACGAAATTCTCACCTGTTACAATAAAGAAATAAGGAAAGGCAAACAATCTTCATGGAGGAGATACTTCCGGGAGATCAACGATGTACCGGGCAGTGCCAGACTCATGAGGGTCACAGCAAAACATGTGACCAATAAGGTCAGCTCTATCAAGCTGCCTGATGGCAAGTGTACCGAAACTGGAGAAGAAACACTGAAGAACTGAAGAAAGCAGTCTTCTGGGATTTGGCACCGTGTATATGTGGTGTTAACCGACGTTTCGGAGGAACGTCGGTTAACACCACATATACACGGTGCCAAATCCCAGAAGACTGCTTTCTTCATAGTCACCGCCGTGAAAGCCTCAAATCTTACACTGAAGGAACTGTTCAGAATTCAGTTCCCAGATTCAAAGTTGACTGACGATTTAGCTGATGAGCGGGGCCAGCAGAACCTGGACATATGTGAATACATAACGAACAGGGGAGACTGGGATCTGGCTGGTTGGGTAATCAAACAATCAAAAATCAGACGGGCGTTAGGTACCTTCAAATCATTTAAGTCTGCGGGAACAGACTGTATTGTACGGGCACTTCTGCAGCAAGGGGTGGAACATTTAGTCCCACACCTATGCCGCATATTTACAGCCTGCATGGCGCATGGGTTTATCACTGTAGCCTGGAGGCAAGTTGAAGTGACATTTATTCCAAAGCCCAGGAAACTTCATTATACCGAGGCTAAAGTTTATCATCCTGTCATCATTCCTTTCGAAAATGATGGAGAAGGTGGTAGACAGACATATTAGGGACGGTGCATTGAAAATTCATCCTCTGCACTAAAACCAAAATGCTTACGAAACAGGTAAATCTACTGAAACTGTATTGCATAATGTAGTAGCACCCACAGAAAATGCTACTGAACACAAGGATATTGCCCTTGGAGCATTCCTTGANAGACACTTACAACGAAATTCTCACCTGTTACAATAAAGAAATAAGGAAAGGCAAACAATCTTCATGGAGGAGATACTTCCGGGAGATCAACGATGTACCGGGCAGTGCCAGACTCATGAGGGTCACAGCAAAACATGTGACCAATAAGGTCAGCTCTATCAAGCTGCCTGATGGCAAGTGTACCGAAACTGGAGAAGAAACACTGAAGAACTGAAGAAAGCAGTCTTCTGGGATTTGGCACCGTGTATATGTGGTGTTAACCGACGTTTCGGAGGAACGTCGGTTAACACCACATATACACGGTGCCAAATCCCAGAAGACTGCTTTCTTCATAGTCACCGCCGTGAAAGCCTCAAATCTTACACTGAAGGAACTGTTCAGAATTCAGTTCCCAGATTCAAAGTTGACTGACGATTTAGCTGATGAGCGGGGCCAGCAGAACCTGGACATATGTGAATACATAACGAACAGGGGAGACTGGGATCTGGCTGGTTGGGTAATCAAACAATCAAAAATCAGACGGGCGTTAGGTACCTTCAAATCATTTAAGTCTGCGGGAACAGACTGTATTGTACGGGCACTTCTGCAGCAAGGGGTGGAACATTTAGTCCCACACCTATGCCGCATATTTACAGCCTGCATGGCGCATGGGTTTATCACTGTAGCCTGGAGGCAAGTTGAAGTGACATTTATTCCAAAGCCCAGGAAACTTCATTATACCGAGGCTAAAGTTTATCATCCTGTCATCATTCCTTTCGAAAATGATGGAGAAGGTGGTAGACAGACATATTAGGGACGGTGCATTGAAAATTCATCCTCTGCACTAAAACCAAAATGCTTACGAAACAGGTAAATCTACTGAAACTGTATTGCATAATGTAGTAGCACCCACAGAAAATGCTACTGAACACAAGGATATTGCCCTTGGAGCATTCCTTGATGTACAGGGAGCCTTTGACAGAACCTCCTTTGATACAATAAAACAGGCTGCTGAAAGGCATGGCACTGAGCCCACAATATGCAGATGGATCTGTGCAATGCTGGAAAGCAGGAATATAAGTGCTATATTGTCTGGAGAGATCTTGAGAGTGTCTGCGGTGAGAGGGTGTCCACAGGGGGGGCATTCTTTCGCCTCTCCTGTGGAGCCTGGTTGTGGATGATCTTTGGGAGCTCAACAGTACAGGCCATTTCACAGTAAGATATTCTGATGTATAGCAATCATAATTAAAGGGAAATTCCCACACTGTATCAGAGGTCTTATAGAGAGCCCTGTATACAGTTCAACAGTGGTGTGAAAGAACAAACTTGTCTATCAATACAAAACAAGATAGTGATTGTACCCTTTACTAGAAAGAGGGATATAAAGGGGCTCTTAAGTAGAGATCTGGCTATCCAGTGACATCAAGTACCTTGGATTAATATTAGACAAGGGACTGACATGCAAAAAAAAACAGCTGGATAAGGCTATTAATAAGGCCTATAAGGCTTTCTGGACATGCAGAGGGACGTTTGGGAAGACCTGGGGACTGACACCAAATGTGGTGTATTAGACATACACTGCAGTGGTAAGACCCATAATCACCTATGCCGCCACTATATGGTGGCCTAGAGTTAAACTAAAAACAAGTCAGGCAGAACTAAGCAAATGGCAAAAGACAGCCTGCTTGTGAATTACGGGAGCAATGAGAACAGCTCCAACAGCTTCAATGGAAATCCTATTAGGACTCCACTGCATTTTCAGATAGAAGCAGAGGCCAAGTTAGGAAATTACAGATTGTGTTACAATGATCAATGAAGACCTAAATCTGAAGGTTTTGGACATGCATACATGACTCGGGACATAAAAAAAAGCACATCCTACAGATGGGATCTGATAAAATGCTACTGAAACATGTTTATGATAGAGCCTTCACGATCAGATTTCCTGACAGAAATGAATGGAATGAGGGTTTTCTACCTGATAGAAACGGGGGACTAATCAGGTTACAGATGGTTCCAAGAAAAATAAAGGCACTGGAGCTGGGATGTACTGTGATGGAAAGAGGCTGAAGCATACCTTCAACCTCAGTCAGTACACAACAGTATTCCAGGCAGAAGTGTATGCCATTAAGGCATGTGCAGTTAAGAATTTAGATAGGAACTATAGAAATAGGAACATCTATATCCTAGCAGACAGTCAAGCTGCAATTAAAGCACTTGGTACACACCAATCACTTCAAAATTGGTTTGGGACTGCCAGCAATCCCTCATACAACTGGCAGGTTAACAGGAAGTTCAGGCCTTACAGGCCACATACACTTACCTTTCCACAGTTGACTAAACTGCATCGATGTGGCCTATGAGACGCCATACTTGACGGCAATCGTTCTAGAAAGAGAATAAAACATTACATTGATCTAAGATAAAATATTCCTTCTGCCCTTCTCAGCCAATGATCTTTCAAAAGTATCCCCACATCAGAAAGGTTAATCAGCTCTGCACAGTGTGACTGATAAAATGTTTTTTTTTTCTTTCTTCCCTTTTTAATCTTTCATCCTTGACATGTTTCAATCTTAGAGACCATCTTAAACTTCGTGCATGAATACATTAAAATATTCACAAATTATTACAATTAGTCTGTTTCCAAGGGGGCATGCACTAACATAGTTGGTTGAGGCACTATGCTAAAAGCTGGAAGGTTGCGGGTTCAAGACCCGATTAGGTCATTGGATTTTTTTCAATTAACCTAATCCTTCCAGCCACACCATGGCCCTGGGGTCGACTTAGCCTCTAACAGAATTGAGTGCCAGGAATTAAATAAATAATTCTCCCGGGGAGTAAAGCGCAGCCGGCGCGTAAGGCTGACAACCTTTGAGCTGATTGTCTAGATAATGTGGGGCCCTCAATATCTCACAACCCTATGGGCTTTCGCGGCCTGTTACAGGGATAGCTTTACTTTCACTGTTTACTTTTTTTAGTCTGTTTAAAAGTGTGGTTTAAAAAAGAATTTTGAGAACCAATTTGGTTCGGGTCCTTTATACTGTCTCTCTTTAAAGGAAGTTGAGTGTCTAGCACTTCGTGGTTCTGTCGTTTGATGAATAGGACTCTGCAAATATATTGTGACATGTCAAACCATTGTTGGGCAACAGGATGTGGAACAAGTTACCAGGAAGACAGACTTCTGATAAACAGTCAGTTGCCAAGTTACACAACAGAAAGGAAAGAGGTATTTATACGTGATGTACCATGCTGAGCCAAGCTGAACTGCAATGGTCGCTACGCAGCAGTAAACAACTCTTGGCAGCATTGCCAAGCAACGCCTCTGTAAACACGGCAGTCACACAACAGTGAAGCAAGCTGCGTTCTCCGCCTGTCCAACTGAGGGTTTATAAGAGAAACTGGAATAACTAAGGAGTTAGTATTAGTGAGTATTCAGCAGAACAGAAGTCAGTCAGTCAGTCGAAGCAGCCATGGGAAGAACTGAACGTGTGATTAGAAGATTTTATGTGATAATCAGTGATAGTGGTAATAACTGAGAAGTCACTGTGTAATTCAGTGACACTTTTATAGCTCCCATGTTATACTGTAATAAGTGAAGACTACTGAAAATAGAGTAAAGAAATTAGTGTGCAGGGTTTGCAAATTGTGCAAACCCACAACAGTGTCATAATTAATTGCAGTTACAATTTGTAAGTTGTCGACAGAAACAACTGACAATCTGAAAGGTGTCCACAAAACTGAACTGGTGTACAAAATAATCTGACCCAGCTGTGAGGGATTCTGATTCAGTGCAATATATTGTCCTGCGAGACGGTGCCAACTGTCCTTCTGGCACCACCTGAGCATAGGCTCTGTTAAACTTGGATTAGGAGAAAGTGACACTGTGCCAGAAAGTCACACATTTGTCCTTTCTGCTTGAAGATGGCATGTTATCAAGTTCACTTCAATAGGGTCTCTGGGTCTACAGAGAGGACGCAGGGGCCATGGCCAGACATCTCCTTCTGCCCTCACTTGTTGCATTGGTTTATTCTGCATCAATGTTGTTTCTTGGAATTTATTCTTTGGATTACAGCACCTGATACTTGGGGTCACGTATGCAGCTCTCGCTCTATCGGTAAGATAGGTGCTTAAATCGCAATGCTTTCCTGGAATAATTTCTATTGTGAGCAGCATTCATCCATAATGAGGAAAGTCCACCTCTGCACACACAACCAACTGCACTATCGCATTGCTTCCAGATCCTCATGGAAGTCACATGAGATTCCCTCCATAAATTCCAAGGCGTTAATCAGCTCATCTTCAGCCAAGAAGTTGGGAAGCAAGATTAGTTCACTTGGAACACCCACACTTACATTGTGGAGTTCGTGAAACACTTTACAGACACAGTATACACGCAAGCTGTCTCTTCCTGCATTCATGTGTAGACCAGGGTGTTCATTCAGTTGCCACAACACACTTTCAACAGCTCCTGGTCATGTATACAGAGATGGCAGGTTTATTTCCTCTCCGTCCTCTCACATAAGAAATAATCTGGTGTTGCTATGTATTTCCAGATGATCTAACTCACCTCCCCCCCCCCACAAACATCTGGATACAATGGAACCAGATGAGTTCCTGTTGTATGTTTGGTTGCCAGAAAAGCATGGCCAAGAGGAATCTGACTGGGGTTAATGAATGCATGATAGGTCTTCCTAATGCCATTCACAAAACTGAACTCAGCAAGAGGAATTTCGCAGCCCATGTACCTGCCACTGCGATGCTTGCAATAGTAGTTAACGTGTACCAGGTGGAACGGATGCATTTTCAGTGAGTTCTGGTGTTTGAGCATGTGCATAGTTTCTTTTATCTCCAGGGTCATCCTGATCTGCCCCTTAGCCCTGTTCAGCACCCACTCAATCCGGGCGCAGTATCTCCTCCATGGCCGAAATTTGTTTTTAAAATCCGCGTGGCACAGATTCTGCTTCTTGTTTTGAGCCTGCTCCTCATATGCCCATCTCTCGTCCAGTGGCATGTGCTTCCACATCGAGGCTGCCATCTCACTGCACCTTATTCCGTACATTCAGGGAGAAGAAATGGAATCCATCTTCCAAGCTTTCCTTCTCTGTTTGTGACATATTGTCACCAGTCATCATTTATACTTCACTATATGTTGTAATAGCTTGTGGAAATGGTGATTTGGCTTTTTCTTCAGTCCTTCTCTCTTTGCTGGCTAAACACTGGCTTCTGTCAATGCAGTAATTCCATAATCCCAATTTCTTTTATTTAAATGTAAACTTTTGTTATTTTGTCCTACCTTCAGTGTTGTTCTGTTGTTCAGGCAGCTCTGTTGTTGTACTGTTCTAAGGTGTGTTAAGTTGCGTATTTATACTCCTTGTATGTTATGACATTTGTGTGGGTGTCTACTGATGTTTCATTATGACATCGAACATATTAAGCTGGTTGTCACTCTCCCATGTTAAATTAAAATTATTAAAGTGATATATGTAGAAGTTTTCTTTTATATTCATATGTTCCCTTTTGTAGCATGCTCAGCCATATCCATGATTACTGTCAGGTCCACACTAGTGGCATTTATTTAGTATATGTTGGGCAAATGCTGATTCGTTTTTGTTACATCTCACATTTCTTATGTGTTATTTATATCTTGTTGTTAGATGTCTACCAGTTTGGCCAATGTATACTTGTTGACAGCTCTGGCAGGTTATTTTGTATATCATATATTGGCCAAACTGGTAGAAATCTAACAAGGTACAAAGAACACCAGTATGGATCTATGACAGTAATCATGGAAATAGCTGAGCATGCTATAAAAGAGAACTTCCACATTCATTCATTCATCAGTAATCTGTCAGACGACAGGTCCACAGTCTCTTCCAAAACAGTTCCTCCACTTAATGCGATCTTCTGTTTTTGGAAAGAGACTATCCAGGAAAAGTGATAATGTGGTAGTTTTTCATTTGCTTTCCACATATATCACTTTAATGAATTCAATAAATTGATAGAAGAAAGAAACTTAACATGGGAGACTGATAACCAGCATAACATGTTCGACGTCATAATAAAAATCAGTACACACCCACACAAACGTCATAACATACAAGGAGTATACATACGCAACTCAACACACCTTAGAACAGTACAACAACTCAGCGTGCCTAAAACATCAACAGGACGACACTAAAGGTAGGACAAAATAAGAAAAGCTCACATAAAAACAAAATATGGATCATGGAAATACTACATTATACCCATAATATATATGTAGAGTCCTATTCAACAAACGATGGTACCACGAGGTGGTAGACACTCAACTTCCTTTAAAGAGAGGCAATATAGAGGACACCAACCAAACTGGTTCTAAAAATTTTAACAAATCCTTTTTTAAACTACACTTGTAAACAGACTAATTGTAATAATTTATAAATATATTAATGTATGCATGCACGTAGCTGAAGATGGTCTCTAAAACTGAAACATGTCAAGGATGAAAGATTAAAAATGAAAGAAAGAAAAAAACATTTTATCAGTCATACTGGATGGAGTTGATTAACCTTTTGTAATACTGCCGATGTGATGGACCAGGATGAACCAAATAAAATTTATCCCCACATCTATCACTAACCAACACAACAAACATGATGGACACTATACAAGTACATAAAAAGCCACTTGGGACCAAAGACAATTATGATTCTTCTTAGATTAAATGGAGGCACATTACTTAGTAACAGCATAAATATGCACACTTCAATTCTGTGAACTCATGCATTTTGAAGAAACTGAAATTTATATAAAAATGATTTTCTCATTTGGATGTACTTTAATTTTAATAAACCATTATAGAAACATGTTAACCACATTTTGGAAAGAAACCAGCAGGAATGAAACAGGGACAGACAAGAGCAGGACAGGTGAAAGAGCCTAATCCATAATGGGAATGCAGGAAGTGTACAAGACAAAGAAAAAGAATGACATACCATCATCCGACATGCTCCCAGACTTCTTTTTGCTGTCAGCATCATTCTCTCCTGGAAAAAAGGGGGCTGACAGTCATTATGTTACAGCCAGAAGTAATGCTACCTATACTGGGTACAGCACATATGAACACTGGACCTTCAGATGTGTATATATTTGCGACTTTTTATGACCAATTAAATAAATGTTCCACCACAGTTACATCAACTATCAATGACTTTTCATCAATATAAATTACAGTACACTTCCATGAAAATGTACTAAAAGATGGTGGTTCTTTAAATGATAACTAGCATTCAGAGTTAATCAATCAACTGATCAGCAATAATGTCCATGCTGTCATACCACATTTCTTTACTGAAAGCCACATGTCCCACTCAAGTCACTGTGTTCTAACAACATAAATTCTGAAAAATATCTCCAGCTTCCTGTTCTCTCTCTCTCAGGTTCAAATATTCTCCTCTGTTCTCAAACATTCTGGTTCTGTGTTCTTTCTTACAGTAATGAGACCACGTTTCCCACCCTCATAAAAAAGCAGGCACAGTTATATTGTATTCACTACATTCATTAATGCAACCCATCTCTTACACAAGGAATTTCATAAAAAATTAAATACTGTATTAGTAATCTTGACAAAACTCTGAATGATGCATAGTTCTCATGAAAAATGCAACTAAAATTAAACATGTTACACTGTAACATGGCACAAGGAAATTTAATTAAACATGTTACACAGTAACATGGCACAAGGAAATTTAATCACATTTTCTGCAAAACTTATGCTTCCATCAAAATGTTATGAATGGACACTTTCACATCAATGTGAATCATGTGGTGAACTCCACTAATGTAAAAATCCATGCCATGCTTCTACATCACACTTAATTTCAATCATAACTTTTACAAAAACTATGTGTAGGGTAAAATTTTATCAGAGGAAATATTCATCCGAGTGTAACATTCATGGAGAAACTGGGTGACAGATTATACAGCCGTAATATCCATACTACGCTGTCACACAATATTTTCTGCCAAAATTATGCACTGGCCTAAATTTTATCACAGGTATTTCCAGCTCAATGTTCATAAGGAATTGTGTGGAGGAGTCTGTAGCCATGAATACCCATGCCATGTTGCCATATCATACTCACTGTCACTGCCTCAATCTAACATGTAAATTATATTCTGAAAAACAGTGTTTGCATATGGAATGCACCACAACTTTCAGACATGATATTTTGAGTAAAACAGCATGTAAATTAGGAGAATAATTATGGTAGGTCTGCATATTTTAATATTTAGGCTTTTATAAAAAGAACAGGAAAATAAAAGATCCTAAAGCGAATGGTCATAAGTATTCCCTAAACCGAACCTATTCTCAGCTTCCTTTAGAGCAGAATTTTGAAGTGTTACTGTCCTTCCCAAGGAGGACACATGGTAGCGTAGTTGGTTGGGGCACTATGCTACAAGTTGGAAGGTCACGGGTTGAAGTCCTGATGAGGTTATTGGATTTTTTTTTCAATTGACCTAATTCTTCCAGCCGCACTATGGCCCTGGGGTTGGCTCAGCCTCTAACAGAAATGAGTACCAGAAATTAATTAATTTTCCTGGGGAGTAAAGAGCGCCCGGCACATAAGGCTGACACAACCTTACTGCCATCTTTGAGCCAACTGTCTAGATAATGTGGGACCCTCATCTCACAACCCTATGGGCCTTCACAGCCTATTACAGGGATAGCTTTAGTTTTGTTTTTTACTGTCCTTCCTAAATATTGGCAGTTTACAGAAATGAGAGTAACTGTACTTACCCAAGACACTTCTTAGGTAAGTTACATGCTCAACTTTCAGGCTATATAATACAGATTTGTAATTTCTTACCTATTCTTGAAGGTACTTTGAGTCCACCATACTTCTTCCAATACAGCCAACAACTGTGGCAAAGTTTGCACTGCATATGTGATGGTCCCCACGCATACCATTGACTGGAGATTGTTACTATGAACAGAAAAGACAAATATTAATGAATTCCATCTTCTGGGCTACCATGTTGTGTAATCCAATGAAAGTTAATCAACACATTGAGGCATGAATCTGGCAGTAAGATCTGTTTCTTGCTTCGCTTATTCTTTGACCCTGAAGGTGGAAGTGATATGCTCCACTGTTATGTCAATTGAGTTTCAACAGACTACATGGGAATATATTCCAGATGGCAGAACTCTTCAGAGCCACCTCTGTGAGAACCTCATACCTAACATTCTCAATGACAAAACTGAAGGACAAGCTAAAATAATTATCTCAGAAACAAGATACATGTTTTATACGAGGCATGTGCAAGTTTAAATTACCATTTCTTCTCTGTCATAGCAACAAGGCAACAAAAATCATCTGTGCTGTATTGCTGGGTTGGAACTGCTGCTGCTATTATACATTTCTTCTTGATCACAGTTCTCCGAACTATGAAACCAGGTATTCTGAATATAAACATATACTTGCTTTCTAGTTGATACACTACTTATATAATATTTCTGCTTTCAATTTTGTAACAGTTTACAATAGTTGCTTCACTGGTGGAAGAAAACTTCTGATAACCTAAATGTAATTAAGGAATGATATGACATACGGTCTCTCAGAATGAAGCTTCTACTTGCGATAAAAGCATACAATACACAATGAAGACCCATACACATAATTTGCATACAATAATTACACTAGGAGTGGGATGGTGAATTAGGGAAAGGAGTAAAGCCTCCTGTTTCAAAGGGACATTTCATTATTGTCCATGTTCACAATAATATATGAACTTAATCATACTTAAACTTATACAGAGACTGCTGGTTGAACTGAAATCACTTGACTCTAATAAACTGTTTCTTTTACATGTGGAAAGCATGGTTTCATAATGAACGATTTGCTGTAATTTAAATCAGGTTTAAAAAGTGGAGTTACCATGAGAACATGAAACACACCAATTACTGGAAATGGTTACAAGAGAATTTGAAACCAAGTTCAGTTGTTATTGTTGACAATGTGTCATACCGCATCACTACAAGAACCATCATACAACTGGCAACCAAAGAGCTAAATTGCTGTCCTCGGATAAGCGCAGTAATCAAGACCACCCCAATGTGACAAGGGTAAAGTCATATAACCTGATAAGAATTCTCAAAGCACAATATGTGATTTAGGCTCCCAGCGGTCTGCTTGCCAAACATGGACATATACCACCGCCCCAATTTAAATACCAAAGAACAAATATATCATACTGTTAAAAACTTAGATGGCTGCAGAAAAATGTGATATTTAAAGTGAGACATGTTCAGCAACTGGTGCAGGAAACTTCTGCAGTTGTGAGAAATGAAGAGTGAGCTGCCATCTTGCAGACATGTTAAAACTGTGGAAGAATACACAGACAGACAGAATGAGATAGGCAACATCATGAAAAAATCAATATCAAGCACAATGATGATGACACACGAGTCATAAAGCACTTGTTCTGGCTTGAATCATTTGATACAAACTTCAAGAAAGAGTCTTATCGCATTTATTTTCCTAACGCGCTTCGTACTGATATGAATTCACTAAAATGGTTGTAACAGAATGGGAAAGAGGAAGGCAGCAGAAATGTCTCCATGTACTTCTCAGAAGTGTGAAGAACCGGGAGGATTATTATGAAAACTTTGGTGATGTTTCTCTTCTGTTTGTGACTCATTCCCAGGTGCATTTTATTGCAGCTGAGCTAGATTACCCACTGTGCATAGAACCTTGTGGCAAGCAATTATTTTTCTTGGTGCACACTGTTGAGTATTTCAGCTGACCAACAGCTGAAAGGTTGTCAGCCTCTGACATACACAATGAGTGCAACTGGTTGCAGAGGTTCTGTAAGGTAGTAAAACTGGTATTGGCACAAAATTTCAACAACTTATACGGTTACCATTTTAAAACTAGATAAACTAAGGAACTACTGTTCCATGCTGCAATTAGAAAAACGTTTTTCACCTTAATAATAATATCTATATCTTACTCACCACTACATGATTCACAAGCTTTGCCACCAACGGGAGGCTCTCCGTTGCTGTTCCCATTCACAACACTTTTGTTGTTATTTATTACTGCTGGGTTTGGTTTATTACTAAGGAAAAAGTAACAGTATGATCATTAAAACTGTAATACATCCTTATGGAAGCCAATATAATTAACATATCTGAAATTACAACAAATGAAGTATGTACGATCAGCTGTGTACTTACTAATTAGGAATGTAGACCTGCTTTAATTTAGATTCTGCTTCAACGGCTTTCACTCTCTTTTGCTGGACATATCTATCGGTCGTTTTCCACATATAATAATACTCTATTATATTCTTCAGTGTCTTCCATGGAAGCTGTAAATGAATGAAACTGATATAATGTATTATAGTACAGCGTATTTTGAAAATGGTATAATCTCTTGATAATTCACTGCAATATTTGTTATACCCTTATGAAAGACTGAACCACAAAAATCACATAGCACTGTACAGCAATACGGCCAGTCTTTACACAAATGGCAGACAGAGAACTGAAGAGAGTTATGTACACAGGTATTCTTGAGACAACATAAACTAGGTGACTACGTTTAAATGGTTCTCTGAAGGTCTCTGAGAATAGCTGATTCATGACATAAATATGATGGACACTGTCAACTGCCTTGAGGTATGATATACATAGCTTTCTGGGAACTGGCTGATTAGCATATTAGCATAGAATTCACAGGGATCCAGATTCACTTTTGAAATGTCACTGCTAATCTTGAAGAAAAATTAAGTGAAAATCTGTCAGTGTGACAACCATTCACTTGAAGGTGGATCCACTGTGTATCAAATCAGGCATGCACAAATTTTCTATAAACCTACATGCCACTTTCAAAAGTCATGGGCCAGAATAGAAAACAAAACACTGTGGATGAGAATTCTGACTCTGTTAACAAAAGACCAACAGAGAGAACCACACAGGTTTATACATACTAGCCAGCTGTTTCATTCTTGTGGAAAAAGCAGTGCACCATCACTATAAAACACAGGAAAACATAAATTTTCTTTTTCCATTCCTAGGATTCATGGATGTACAACTGAGAGAGACACAGGGAAAGAATATTTAAGGAAGGAGGGAAGGAAATGAGAGAATGAATAGGACAGAGGAATGGAAGAACAGGGATAAGGAAAATATCTTGATGTGAAGGAAGGCGGGGAAGTAATCATTATGGAACAAACAAATAAAGGCAATGGGAAAGCAATAAGAGGAAACGGAGAAGATAGGTTGTACGAAAGGTACAGCACCCAGAATTTGCAAAGGTGTCGTGCCTTAGACAATGGAGAACGCCACACATAATAGTGGTAAAATGGCTGAAATTTACCCCAGCTGTCTCCAAACTAACAAGGTGGTTTCTTACAATTGTTTATTACTTAAAGGACTTTTGATTTTGGGTGGATAAAATACTTTGTTACAGTCATACTTCTGTCACAAACATACACAGTCAAATACAAAATTTTTACCATAGGCATTGCATAAGATATTGAAAGACAAATTATAGAAAAATACTGATCACAAGAGAGATTTTATTTATGTACAGGCTATGATGGAACATCTTACTCGTACATGTACATCTGCGCACGGCACCATACCAGCAGTGTTCTAGACTCGAAGAAACTTAAAATAATAATAAAGCATCTGCCTCCACCACTTGCTTCTTCTATAATTTTGCTCATTCTACAATTTCCTATGATTTGGGAGAGACTCTGAGGAGTCATTAACAAATTAAATTTTTTTGCCATCATGAAAGTGTGACAACAAGTCAATACATTACAGTTCATGATTCAAGCTGTTACTGTCAGCATTGGTCGCGCCATAGCTCAAGTGGTTAGTCGCTGGCTTCCCACCGCGGCGGCCTGGGTTCGATCCCGGGTCTGGTCAAGTGGGATTTGTGGTGGACAAAGTGGCGCTGGGGCAGGTTTTCTCAGAGTACTTCGGTTTCCCCTGCCAATCTTCATTCCACCAATTGATCCACAATCAGCTCACCTAACATCTGGGGCTGGTACAATAGGCCAGAAGTGGCCGCAGTACGAGGGACTTAGTCCCACCCCACTAGCAATAAAAAAAATACTGTCAGCATTTCATCCACCATCAATGGAATCTTTAGAGGTCACTATACTTTCTTGTTTTTTCATACTGCAACTTCAAAAATGGGATAATGCAAACTGAAAAATGTCATGTTTTCTATGAGCATATTTGAAGAAATAAATATTCTATCACTTTCAAAGAAATGGCCAATACTTATGGGAGGAATGGCAGAACAAGATCTAACTGATATAACCTCTCAAAAAGAATAGGAATAATCAGCAGTACAAGTACAAACACACTGGAATTATAACTGTGCTTTTACAGAACAAAACAATCCCTTTTCTGTTTTTGGAGTGACAATGCCTACGATAACATTACTGGAAAACCACCTGAATTTATGGTATCATGACTAAATGAATACTTTTCACTAGCATTTGTACATGCCTGCTATTTAAGTTTCAATGTATTACTGTTTATATAATAATAAATTCGACTTTACATCTACTACTATTTTTGTGATGGGCATGCCTTCAGTGGCATTCTAGGAAGTCAACAGAAAGAATGGATTTGCTTGGTTCTTGCAATTCATTCAACCACATAAAAAACACTTTACTCACAAAGTCTTGTCGAATATCATTGAAATCTTTTCCATATTTTTCAAGCGCTTCCTCAAAAAGATTTGCCTCAGAGGCCGACCACTCTTCCATCTCATCACGACAGAGGACAGGACCTGTTGAGGGAACTAGTGAGCTGATAGCATCAGCCATATTGTACGAGTGCTTGTGGAGAGTGTCCATTGCGTGGAACTATAAATATAAAATACACAATTTAAGTCCGTTAAACTATCAGTAAAATAAAAATTTACTTGGATAAAGACCACATACTTCTGTTCTATGTTGTACACAGCCTATACAATATAAATAAAGATAATAAGTACAAAGCACGCTTCAAAACTGCAGACACTTCACAAGTTGGAAGTGCTAACGGTTGCAGCAGTGCCAAATGAATCTTTACTTTCTGGGGGTATTTTATATTATACATGTATACAGAGTATATGGGAAAACAAACAAGTAAAGTGATTGAAAGGTCCCTTCCACATTATCTTCAGTTACAGCAGAAACAAATTGTTTTTGAACAGCTTGGAAAAAGGCAACAACTTTACTCTGATCATTAAAATGTACATGAAGCTGCAAAAATACCTTTGCAATGCTTTTGCAATGGGTGACATAGAAGACAGGAAATTATGATGTGTACCAAGACAAGAAAACAATATTCAATATATAAGAAAGATATACAGTGTTCCACATGTCTGCTCTGTCATTACATGACAACATCTATGAGATGTCAGTGTGGCATGTGCAGACAATTATTCCTGAATTTCATTCAGTTCAAAGCTCAATATAAAACTCAGAAGGATAAAAATGTTGTCACAGTACCAACGCATACAAGAAAAGATGTCTACTGCTTAAATGAATTAAGATGACATTTAATTTTAGCAGCTGTTATTAATAACAGAATTTAATTTGTCCACAATACACAGACCAACTGGCTCTACAGCCATTCATGGGCCTTCGCCTCCTGCACCAACAACCTCCAAGCACTTCTGTCCATCGCAGTGGATCTCCAATCTTTAACTTTCAGTATCCTAAGGTCTTCTCTGACAGCAAACCACCTAAATTTGGTCTACCTCTTACTGTTTTAGTATAGATCTTCTCATATAAGACTTTCCGTGGCATTCTGTTAACATCCATTCTTTCCCCATCTCCCCGCCAGTCAAATCTTCTTGCCTTTATAAATCTAACAATATCTTCTTCAAAATCTCATCTGTTTCTTCATTGTTTCTAATTATCCACTGGTCTTGTTTTATGGGTCCATATATTTTCCTAATAACTTTTCTTTCAAATCTTCTTAAATTATTTTCATTCTTTTTCTTTAACACCCACATCTCACTGCTAATGTCACTACAGGATATATTAATGTTTTATATATTTTCATTTCCTTATTCCTATTTATATCCTTAGATTTTACTAACTGTAGGTTGGCATAATATGCCTTATTGCCAGATTGTATTCTTTCTTGTATGGTGTGTTATACTATTTTTCTCATCTGTTACTGCACTTAGACATTAAAACTTCTGTGCCATTTCAAATTCTTTGTCTCCAATATGTAACTCCCTCTCTCTTATATTTGCATGATTAGTTGTATTAAGATGTATGTACTTTGTTTCTGTTATGTTTGTAAAAAGGCCAAGCTGATTTGCTTCCTTTTCCAAAGTCACATATACTCTCTGCAATTCATTTTTCGTTCTGGTCATAATTATTACACCATCAGCATATGCACAAATTTGACTGAGTACTGTGAATATATCACCTCTTTTGTCTACCTTTTTGATTGTGGTCCGCAATACTGCGTTAAATAATGTGGTTGACAGACCATCGTCCTGCTTAACATTCCTATACTACCTCAACTTTCTCTAGTCTCATTTCCTAACTTCACCTTAGCATATGTTTCATGTAGTGTCATCATTGTTAAGTTAATGAGTTTTGTTGGTATTCCCATTTCATGCATAGCTTGTGTTAATTTATTCCTTCTTACACTATCAAATGCTTTCTTATAGTCAATAAATAGTATGTGTAAATCTATCCCATACCCATGAAATTTCTCTATTGTTTGACGCATCACAAATATTTGATACATTGTACTTCCACCTTTGTGAAACCCATATTGGTTTGTCTTTGCAATCTGCATTATCCTTGTATCTATCAAACTTGTTACAATTTTGTATGTGCTCTTAAGTAAAGTTATATACCTCTGTAATTATTGCAGTCAGATTTGTCTCCTTTTTCATTAATGGGGAAAATTAAACCTGTTCTATGTGTTTTAATACATATGAATACAGTGTAAACATAAAAGCATTTGGTTTTTCTCAATTAACTAACTGAAAACAGAAGTCTATTTCACAAAAATAACACCATACTGTGACTTTGGAAGTGTGAAGTGGACTCTCATAAATTTCCTTGGGGTTTGTGGCTGACCAATACCGAAAATTTTGCTTGTTAACAAACCCTGACAAATGGAAATGAGCTTCATCGCTCATCAGTAAGTTGTTAACGACATCTTGGTTTTGCTTAATTAACTGCAAAATAGTCTGGCAGAAATCAACTCTGTTTTCATAGTCGTGTTTGTGTAGTGCATGAGTAATTTGAATTTCATAAAGTAAGAAGTGGAGATCTTTGTGTAAAATCCATCAAATGCTGGCTTTGGACAGCCCGAGTGATGTAGCGTGGCGACGCACAGACCAGCATGGACTTCGTTCAATGGCTTCTCTCACTGCCACCACATTCTCAGGTGTACTTGTTGTTTTTATGCTACCACCTTCCCTCTTAAGTGTAGAACAGTAGCCTCAAAAGTTCTGAACCCAGGTCTTGATGGCATGGGCAGATGGAACAGCATGACTGCGATGAATACCAAACTTTCTTCAAAATTCACGCTGAGCAATGACGACACTGTCACCGTTTTTGTAAAATGCTTCCACAGCAAAAGCATGTTGTGCTCCAGTCCATGGCTCCATTGCAACTAAACGCTTTGAAATAGGCTGCTGGGTGGCAGAATTGGCATCCTCCCCACTCCAACCAATCCAGGAAAAAACACCGCTGCCAAATGGCCCGATTCATTGACGCACCCTGTATAATTCTTCTTTAAGTTCTAAACCAGCATGAATAAACATTTCTGGTATTATATTATCTCCTCCAGGGGATCTATTTCGTTTCTGTTTCCTAATTATCTGGTCTATTTCTTCTGATGTTGGTGCCTTCACAAGTTCATCTCTGTTACTATACGTTCTGCTTTCGACATCTTCTATCCTTTCACAGTCTTTCATAGCTCTTCATCTTCATTACCACCTTCCTCCTTTTTACCCAGCTGTTCTTGGAAATATTCTCCCCACTTTGTTTTGACTTCTATTGGGTTTGCCACTATAATTCCATCTTTATCTCAGCATCCAATTGTCTGTGGCTGATATCCTTTATCTTTTTAACTGCCATGTACAGCTTACTCATTTCATATTGTTTACTGAGCTCATCAATCTCATTAAATTTAGATCTCACCCATTTTCTCTTTTTGTCTCTGCAGATATTGCCTTTTCCTCATCTGGGTGTATTTCTCCCTGTTCTTTCTTGTGTCTCTTTGTGGAGGTTTTGTCTACTTTCATTTTTCTTTTCTTTTATTACTTCTTTACACACATCATCAAACCATTCATTTTGTCTTTTATTTGTATTATTTCCTATAATTATATTTGCATCAGTAGTTATTGCTGCTTCTATCCTCTTCAATTCTCAGTTTATTGAAGAGTTTCTTGGCTATACAATGCTCTTGTTTCCATTTATTTACTGCAGCTTTCTTTCATATTTTTACATAATTTTTCCCTGATTTCAGTCTTAAGTAAAAATGATAGCCACAATTACATTCTGGACATTACCTAACATCTATCACGGATGACGCATGTCTTGTATCTACTAGTACATGATCTATTTGATTTACGGTTACGTTATCTGGCGCTTTCCATATTCCCAAATGTACCAATTTATGTGGAAAACGGGTACTCTTAATTTTTAGTTTATTTCTTGTGGCAAAATAACCCAACATTTGTCCATTTTCATTACTTGTATCATGTACAGTGCATTTTCCTGCTGCACCTTTCATATCATCTTCTACTCCTATTAAAGTTACCAGTGATAACCTTAAGATCATATTTGGGCACTAATTTGAAGGCTCTAACCAGGTTATCCCAGAATTCATCTTCTATTGCTTCATCTTTATCACCTGTGGGAGTGCATACTGATAAGATGGTGATAATTTTTAATTTCCCTGCTATTCTTATTTTGCTTATCCATTAGTTTATCATTTCAAATTGTAGTATTCTATTCCTCACAGTTTGGTTTAGAATAATAAATCCTGTTCCTGCTTGCCGTTTTCTCAGCCGTACTTCCGTAATAAAAAGCATAGTCCTTTTTATTTATTTTCCTTATACCTTGTCATCTTATTTCTTGTAGAGCAGCAATATCTATTCTATATTTAGAGGGCCAGGGGTTTTCCTGTCAGGGACCCATACCCCTAGCCCCCGTAGGCCCCATTATATTGATTTCTGATCACACTGAGCAATTCTCAGCCCCAGTTTCTTCTCTTACCATGAAAAGTGAGGAAGAAATGTCATTCAGTTGGAACCCAAAAATCTTCTCCGTGTAACATAAAATTAAAGAAGTATTTCCTGTTCTTATATTCTGTTGCTGAAGCACCTGAGAAATAAGTTATCTTAATTGAACAAGAATGAAGGGAACTGATTATTTCTGAAAGAGATAAACAGCAACAGTGTCATGTGAAAGACAGAAATTATTAAGGTGGTAACACTCTACATAAGATTCTCAGAAACAAATTGCAAAGGGGTATAATTTGGTTGGGCATTATGCCAATGAAATCCCTCTGGCCCATTTTGTAATGTGAAGGCATAATTTCCAGCAAAATCACACAGCACAATGATACCTCATTACAAGCCACATTACTATTTATTCAAATACACTATTAGTTGAACTGCAACTATAGAGTGTAACTGTAGTACTGCTAGCTTTGCAATTAATCACTCAGCTTCACAGTGTCGATATACCTGCGGAAAGTCAATGCTTCAAGGTTACACATTTAGCAGCATTCTCATCCAGCAAATGTTGCAGTTATCTAATCCAGGACATTCTGGACACTGTGTGGGGGGGGGGGGACAACACTGTCCAGAGGATGTCACATTATGATTGCCAAGGAGTGATTTTATGTAGACAACTCAGTACTTTCATCTGTCTTCAACTCTGCCAGAGTGCATCCTTCAAGAGAAAATCTGACACTGTGATAAGCAGTACACACGTAAAGATGTTACGAGTTCCATTTTCTCCAGCTACCACACAGTATTAAGTCACAAATATATAAATTCTGAGGATCCAACACAGAAGATTTCACTCACATAAGCATACTCTGACAGACTGTTTAATAAAGTTCTTTTACAGTTCTTTCATACACCCAGTTGTAACTGGCAGAACTATGTTGACACTCATTACAACATGACTTCTCAACAGTCTTCTTCCAGGCTTTATATCTGGTGATGTCAGAATTCTATATTCCTATTGTAGCTCTTCAGCTGCATGTATCATACAGATGGAGGCACCTGGGAATTCTTCTGCTTTACTGCTACCCCACTCCTGTAACACTGACACTTCTGCTTGCTGTCTGCTGAAATTTTTCTTTGAATTACGGTAACTCTATGGAATCAGAACTTACTCGCAGAGCTGACATTCCTTAATCTGATTAAATTTTGAAGATCTCTTTCTTAGACCACTTCCAATTCAGCCACTTTTGTAGTAGAGGAGTTTGTGCTTCCTGATCTTTCCATTCTGACTGGTGATACACCAACCCTCTGAAGGCTCTCATTTAATGACTCCACTGCCACTACTAAGATCATCCCAAACAATTATCATCATCCATGAACAAATATTTCTTAGGTCATTTCTACAAGCAGTATCCTTCTTCTTTAAAAGGACTACACAACCATGCAGGCACTAAGCTACAAGCTGGAAGGTCACGGGTTCAAGTCCCGATGAGATCAGTGGATTTTTTCAACTGACTTAATCCTTCCGGCCGCACTACTGCCCTGGGGTCGACTCAGCCTCTAACAGAAGTGAGTACCAGGAATTAATTAAATAATTTTCCTGGGGAGTAAAGTGCGGCCAGCATGTAAGACTGACAACGTTACTGCCATCTTTGAGCCGATTGTCTATATAATATGCGACCCTCAACGTCTCACAACCCTATGGGCCTTCATGACCTGTCACAGGGATGGCTTTACTTACTTACTTACTTTCTTACTTACTTACTTACTTACTTTACACCACTAGGTTGGTACAAATTTCTTTGAATTTCCCATAAAATTCTTAACCACAACTATGAGAAGTAGTGATGTGCACAATCAATGTGCAAGGGATTCACTGTTATAACTACAGCACATAACACTGATACAAATATTTGAATGATACTGATGACTGCAGAAAGATGAATCACACACTGAAAACTGAGAACAGGAAACAAATGTTGTGCGGTGGATTCAGGGAGGAAGACCTGAGAGTCTCCAATGCCACGATTCCATTACAACAGATACCACCACTGTCTCAGGATGCCATATGACTTATGCTCAACTACAACATTATCAACCAAATACACAATTCTTTTTGAAAAAAGAATTACATTTTGTGAAAAACTGAAGGTCACAGGTTACATGAGGTGGCAGTGAAACCAAAACTACTCCATCTTAATGTGAGTCATATATGTGTGAAGGCAGCATTCCACCATCTTTCAGACAAGCCCTATATGAGCTCAGAGAGAGTGAGCACTTAAAAAGCACAATTTACTTTACCATTTTATTCTCATTTTACTGACCAATGTAATGTCTCGTGATGCAGCTGCAGCGCTCATGTGAAGACTCGGTTGCTTCACAGAGCTTGAGCAGTCCAGAGCACGAGCAAACGTTCCCACTGATCTGGAGATAACTAGAAATTGGTCAATTTGCCTATCAGTGAGGTGATGTGATGGTGTCCAGACCAATGTTTCCAAGTCCTCAAGATTTCGATTATCAGAATCATCTGAAATACAAAATGCATATACACATATTTATACACACACACAAGAGGTAAAATATGTCATAGTATGTTTAGAAAACAGTTATCATAATGAGGTGATTAGAAGTTCTGGACTGGTGTGCAAATCATTAAAGTTGACTGGAACCAATTGCAATCCAGGCTTCAGTAGACCTGAGAATGGGGAATACTGTCATAAAGGGAAACACTAAACATTATAAATGACTTTATTATATTGTTTGGACTTCATCAATTTGCAACATGATACTACTCTTTTCAGATGGCCTTAATGTGGAGTTTCATAGTTCATATTTAATTCCTGTTTTATTACTCTTCTTGGCATTGACTGCTACAAAAGAGTCAAGCTTGAAAACACCTTGGTTGACTTTAAGGAGAACTGCATGTAAGTAGACTATGCAAGAGTTAGCATGTATCCTACTGTTTCTGGGTATCATGCAACAGGAACACACAAGAATGGTTAATGTGTAGGGGAAATACACACCATAACTATGTTCTTCTAAAACTTATTAACTTGCAGGATTCAAGTTACAGATAAAACAGTAGTGTATAATTTGATGTTCCTAACGCAAACTGTTGATATGTCCTTAAGAATCAGAGTTCACAATTCTGACAAAGTTCAAGAAAATCTAAATAACCATCTCCAAGATAGATTTTGATGTGAAGGTTCAAAATCTTGGGCACCTCCATCACAAGACCTTCTGCCAAATATTTACTTATGGGACTGCATAGAACAAGTATTAGAATCAATTACATGCATTATATGAAATGAAGCATCAGTCACAGTTCACTTTGTAACTCCAAATGTGTGGCAAGAAGTACTGAGGGAGTAAATGTCATATTTATGAGATCTGAGGTTTCGTGGCAGTGAAATTTAAGATTATGATCATTTGTGCTATAATATCACACAGTTTCACTGGCAGCGTCCAACATTTTGGAACAACCAGCTGCCTCCATTTTCATATTAATACTGTAACATGTAGTAGCGTTACTACGCAATGATCGCAAGAAGGAACATACGTTGTTTGTTAAACACATTCTTGCAGAAACGACGTTCTCAGCTATCACTTGGCAACCACCCATAACGACTAAAAAGAGGGACTGATGGCGGCAGTGTTTTCTGTTGGGTCTGCCCCAAGGCTATCAAGGGGGACCCAAAAATAACCGGAACCGACCTGTTGCGCGCGCATGCTTTGTAGTTACGAGTTGTGCTCCTAGGTGGTGTTAGCTGGGGGTCTCCCGCGACTGTTAGCGAGCTGGCGTCAGTCTGAGTTAAGTGGTTTGTCTGTGGTGCTCTGTTGTGTGCGTTCCTGTTTCAACCCTTTGGCGATTAGTGAGATGGCTGACCAGAAGGAACAAAGAGTGTGCGTGAAATTTTGCTTGATGAAGATCGTCGAAAGACCATTGACCAACTTTCTGAGGAAACGAACATCTCATGGAGCACGGTCCAGCGAATTTTAACTGAAGGTTTGCACATGAGACGGGTGTCTGCAAAATTTGTTCCTTGCTTGCTCGGAGATGACCAAAGAGAAAACCGCGTGAATGTTTTCCGCGACTTGAAGAGTGAAGTGCAGAACAATCCAGAATTTCACGCACACTCTTTGTTCCTTCTGGTCAGCCATCTCACTAATCGCCAAAGGGTTGAAACAGGAACGCACACAACAGAGCACCACAGACAAACCACTTAACTCAGACTGACGCCAGCTCACTAACAGTCGCGGGAGACCCCCAGCTAACACCACCTAGGAGCACAACTCGTAACTACAAAGCATGCACGCGCAACAGGTCGGTTCCTGTTATTTTTGGCCCCCCCCCCTCATATATAGACTGGACCCCAGGCCAGCTGAGTGCAGTTCAGTTGAGTGAAGTGAAATGAAGCAGCTGGCTGGTGAGTGTAGTCAGCTGAGGGTTGGCAGTTCAGTTGTGCTCTGCAAGGGAGGCTGAGAAAAGATGGTGCTACAGTTGAGCTGAGAGCTGACAAGAATTCAGTTGTGGGACAGCAATAACATGAGCGTGGGAAGCTGAAGAATCTCCACTGTTAGAAGCTGTTGGATACACAGCAGACTGGAGAAAGACTTGGCGGGTGCTATGGTGATTTGTAAAGTGGGGAGATTTTCAATAGTGTTGTAATTGCTTGTAATTACCCTATGAGGGAACCACTCAGGATGCGCAGCCTTAAAGAGGGAGCGGCAGGAGCAGTTGGCGGGTAAACACAGTGAAAAACTGAGCCAAGGGAAGGATGGTGAAACCAACCACACACATCAAAAGCACAGCCCTGGGAAAAGAAATGGTGGTATGCCTGTATGCCATTCAGGAGGAACAGACTTAAAGAGGGAGCAATGTTAATGTATAGTACTGTTACCAAAAAATGATCCTGAGAAAGAACATGCATTGCTTGGCAATGACTCGGTAAACACATTTCCACAGAAAGGATATTCTTAGCTATCATTAGGCAATCACCCCTAACAACAACAGAAAGGGTGTTTGAGGTGGTGTTTTCTGTTGGGTCTGCCCCAGGCTATATGGTGTTGGCCCCAGGCCAGCTGAGTGAAGGGAAGTGAGGTAGTTGGTTGCTGAGTGACTGACTGACTAAGTTGAGGGTTGGCAGTTCAGTTGAGCTCTGCAAGAGGCTGAGAACAGATGGCAATCCAGTTTAGTTGAGAGTTTATAAGAGCTCAGTTGCAGATTATTCACCTGACAGTAAAGACATGAGGGCAGAAAGCTGAAGAATCTCCACTGCTAGAAGTTGTTGTTGGAAGTGGCTGTTAAAGACAGAGCAGGCCAGATAAAGGCTTAGCAGGTGCTATGGTGACTTGTAAGGTGTGGAGATTGGTGATAGTGCTGTAATTACTTGTAGTTCCAAGTGGAATGTACAAGTGTGTCAATAAATCCAATATCCAGTCCATACTCCATATACAGACACACTCCTAAAATATGTGACACTATGCTGTTTATGCTACATTCATTAACTATTACAAACATGCAGACCCTGAAATCAGACATGCTGAATTGTATCCCACTAACCAATAAAAAGCATGAAAGGTGTCAAAAACTCAACATCTCAGATTCAGTTAAGTGCCCTGCATTATGGTATATAATTACAACTGCAGCAGGAAACAATCTCTCTGTCTCTTCTTGTTATATCCTTCAAGCAGATAATTTCATAAGAATGTTTCTAGTACAAAATCCACAGATGCTCATCCAAATGAGACGTTTTACTCATACAAACCACAATGTGCCTTTTCAAGCTACACTTACTTTTTTTGTAAAAACAGGATCACACAAATGGGTTTTGTACCAAACTCTACCAAACTTGTAAATTAATGAATGAGCTCTGCTGGTCACAGTTCTAACATTCTCACATGCATACAATGTATCTTAATATACCTGGAACCAAAACAAAGGAGAAAAAGACACACAACCTGCAAGAAAGTACTTAGCACTGTAATGGTATCAAGTAACTTGAAGTCAGCTTAAAGACCAACCTTCTTTCAACACAGATGGTGGATCAGCTTGATATCTGCTGCCAACTCGAATTTCCCCCTTGTCCGCTAAGAGAGTTTTATGTGTTGGGTCAAACACCAAACAGTAGAAAAAGGTATCCTAATAAAAACAAAAAAAAAAAGTATCACTTGACAGAATTCAGTCACATAAAAGACAATTTTGTATCATATTCCTATACTCTCTTTTTAATGCCATTTGCCTTTCTTCATAATACTCAGATCCTGCAGAAAACATCAGATACATTTTACCTATGTAGGGAAAACTAATCACACATTTTATGAGGGCAAACCACCAAACCACCTAAATTCAACATTTTTATCACTCAGCAGTAGTGAGCAGGCTCTTATCACTGATACTAAATATATTAATAAGAAATACTGGAATTTGAACTAATCCTCTGGAACCATTCTCTCTGGAAACCAACAGTAGTACTTACAAAAGAATGAAAAGCAGACAGAACACCTCCATGTAAAGCTGGTGAATGTAAAATGAACAATGAGGGTTGTGAGGAGAGGAGCAGAAATCCATACTACCCCAACCTACACGGTTATTCAAAAAGAATGAACCAATCTTATTATGCAATATTTTATTAAAGGAAAGTAATACAAAACTCCCGCCAAGTCACAAGTATTCTACTCACAATCAACTTTTATTTCCTGTCTTACAAGTGTTCAATGTAGCCACCACCTGCAGCATGGGCAACATCAATATGATAAGAGAATTCCTCCCAGGCGCGTATTAGCATAGCACTGAGTTAATCGCTGTTGTTATTTGATGTTTAAGGTCATCGAGGTTGGTGGGTAGCGGTGGAACCTAAACGTGATCTTTTACATATCCCCACAAGAAGAAATCACACACGGTGAGGTCTGGGGATCTTGCAGGCCAAGCACAAAGAGCAAGGCCTTTGGCACCCTTCTGACCAATCCAACGCTGGGGCACTTTTTCATTTAAGAAAGCTCGGACCATCAGGTGCCAATGGGACGGTGCTACATCTTGTTGAAAAATGAAGTCATGCGAATCTGCTTGCAGTGAAGTGAAGAGTCAGTTTTGGAGCATATCAACATAGGTTTGTCCTGTAACCGTGTTACCTTCAAAGAAAAGGGACCATAAACCTTGTCCTGAGACACAGCACANCCTTTGGCACCCTTCTGACCAATCCAACGCTGGGGCACTTTTTCATTTAAGAAAGCTCGGACCATCAGGTGCCAATGGGACGGTGCTACATCTTGTTGAAAAATGAAGTCATGCGAATCTGCTTGCAGTGAAGTGAAGAGTCAGTTTTGGAGCATATCAACATAGGTTTGTCCTGTAACCGTGTTACCTTCAAAGAAAAGGGACCATAAACCTTGTCCTGAGACACAGCACAGAAGACGTTCACCTTAGGGGAATCTCTTTTGTGCTCAACTGTTTCATGTGGGTGCTCTGTTCCCCAAATATGCACACTGTCACGACTGACTGTGCCGCTCAAGTGAAAAGCTGCTTCATCACTAAAAATTAAACGTGAAATGAGGGTTTCGTCTTTCATCATCTCCAGCATCGAATCACAAAATTCCATCCGTTTCCTTTTGTCGTCATTGGTAAGTGCCTGAACGAGCTGCAGTCTGTATGGTTTCAAATGTAGACGTACTGTTAGCACATGCCAGACAGTGGATTGAGGGATCGCAAGCTCAAGGCTAGCTCGATTTGTTGACTTCCGCAAGCTCCTCTCAAATGCAGCACAGATTCTCACCACTTGTTCCTCCAAGACTCGTGGTCATCCTGGACTTTTTCCTTCACACAGACACCCACTCTCTTGAAACTGTCGAAACCACCGTTGAATGTTCTTAGGACAGGGCAGATTAATGCCCAATCGCTTTCAAAAAGCATGCTGCACCGTGACAACCGAATTTGTTTTCGCGAACTTGAGAACACAGAACGCCTTTTGCTGAGGACTTGCCATTTCGATGGTAAACGAACAACTGAATGTTGCCGGAAGAACAACGGGACTTCAGCACCCCTGTGGCAGCCATTCATGACTTAGATAACTCCTCTTTAAAATGGTCACTGACTCATTCCATGACGATGCTTGAGAACTGAAGCAATGCGTCATGAAATCGGTTCATTCTTTTTGAATAAACCTGTATTTTATCTAAGAACCATTTGTGTATTGTTTTAATTACCATGTAACCCGAATATCTAGTTTTGTTCAATACAAAGTGGTTCAAATATGACCAGGACTGATGTGTGTAAACAAGCCGCACTGCGCAGCAGTTTGGGTTAAAACCTGTTCGGTCCTGTCTGGAAGTTGCTAGATTGATGAGCGAACAGAAGGTACCGCAGAGCGTGGAACAACACATTGTGATCAAATTCCTCTTTGGAGAAAATGTCCCGTCTGCTGAAATTCACCAGATTCCAACAACAGTATGGGGAAGAGTCTCTCACAGACCCATGTGTGTGAGTGGTGTAAGTGCTTCAGAGAGGGCAGAGAGTGCTTGGAGAATGAACCGCATGATCATCGGCCACAAACATCCGTCACCAAGCCAAACGCTGATCGTACAGACGCACTTATTCGTGAGAATAGGTGCATCACTATCAAGGAACTTGGAGCAATGCTGTCCATCAGTGTTGGTAGTGTAGAAGACATCGTAAAATACCACTGTACTATCGCAAGGTGAATGCACAGTGGGTACTGCGCACTTTGACATACGTGAACAAAATGGTGCGCATGCAAGCTGCCAGTCCTCTCCTACAGCAGTTCAAAGACAAAGGTGATGACTTTTTTGAAGTCTATAGTGACCACGGATGAAACGTGGGTGCACTACTTCATTCCTGAGTCCCAGCAGTCATCACACGAGTGGCAGCATACCAGTTCTCCCAAATCCAAGAGAGTGCGAGCCGTTCAGCAGGAAAAGTGATGGCAACATTCTTCTGGGACTGGCAGGGGTTATCCATGTAGACTTTCCGACAGATGCCAGAACAGTCAATGCAGCTTATTACTCAGACCTCCTGGCAACAGTCATGAAGGAAAAGTTCCGATCCAAGTGGAAGACGAGCGGAAAGCGGGTAGTCTTCCTTCAAGACAATGCACGCCCCCATACAGCCAAGACAACAATGGAAACCCTCCAGATATTGAAATGGAACCTTCTGACACATCAGCCGCACAGTGCCAATTGGTCCCAAGTGATTTCTACCTGTTCGGAAGGTTCAAATCAGACTTGCTAGGCATGCGGGTTGTGGAAGACGTCATTCAGACTGTTCGGGAGTGGAGACGCTGCCAACCACAAGCCTTTTTTGAAAAGGGGGTCAGGATGCTTCCAAAACATTGTAAAAAATGTGTCGACTCCGGAGGGGAGTACGTTGAAGACTGACATGTGCAAGTAAGTGTTTGGCTATTATGGTTTTAAAAAAATCAGTCCCGGTCATATTTGAACCACCTTGTACATACTGACAAAGGGTATCAGCTGATGAATTGCGTGTCTTGATATAGCTTTTCCTGTGAAGCAATAAACACACTATAGTTCATTTCTTGCTTTCAAAGTGGCATTTCCAATCTAAGAAAGCTTCAAAATGACAATTATAAGCTAAGTGCATAATAATAACAACATTTAGATCATGATTATTTTATTGTGTAATGGAATTTTCTTTCATAGCCCTTATTTTCACTTCATTAAACCTAATGGTTCCATGGAAGACCACCTGGGAAATACTGTTCTAGACAATCTCCTTATTGGTGTCCATTAGACCTTTTGCATTTTTCTGCCATTTAAGTTATTCTCCAACAAAATAAAACATCAGTATAGACCAGAAGTTCATGTGTCCCACTCAATTTCAGACCTTCCTGATGGCATATTCTGAAGCAAAGTTGAAATCAATGGTGATAAACATCTCCTTGTTTCAGGTCATTCTCAATATGAAACACAACCAGCAAATATTTATCCATATGGACTTCGATGAAGGAGCCATTTAAGTGTGTTTTAATTAGCCTAATTAGTTTCAGGGGTATGCCAAACTCAACAAGAATACTGTAAAATACTTACTTCCTAACTGAATCATGAGACTTCTGGAAGTCCACAAATAGATGATGCACTGCCTCACTGTACTCTAATTTTTTCTACAGTATCGACTACCCCCGACCAAATGATTAGCAGCTGATTAAATCCAAGTCATCACTGTCGATCCCCAATAATTCTGTATATGAAGTCAACTTTCAAAGAAGAATTTGGATAAAATTTTATTATGAAATTGATAATAATGACATCCTTGACAATAACTAAGTCAGTTGTATCACCCTCTTACAAATACAAGGTCCGTATAAAAAGTATCGGGAAAAGTTCCGGGAAAATAGATTTATTTCAGGTATTGCTACAATGCCTCAAAATTCTTCAAAATACATCCCTTGTGCATCGATACACTCTTGCCAACGGCGTTGCCACGACACGAAGGCTCCCTGGTAGGCGGTTTCCGGAAGGTCCTTAAGGGTCCGCGTGCAAGCCTCTTTGACGGCACTCAGGGTCCCATGATGGTGCCCTTTGAGGGAGGATTTCACTTTCGGGAACAGGAAAAAGTCTGCTGGTGCCAAGTCGGGACTGTTGGGGGGTTGGGGTCTTCCTCAACGCGTTGCAGAAGGCCTTCGCAAGCAGCCACTCGTCTCTGCTCTTGGTCGTCCGTCAAGACCTTCGGGACGAGTTTCGCGCAGACCTTTCGCATCGCCAAATCTTCAGTGATAATGGTATGCACCGTCATCTTATCAATGCCAACACGATCTGCAATCATGCGCACACTTAATCTACGGTCTGAAGTGAGTACATCACGCACACGTTGCACGTTGTCGTCGGTTCTTGACGTCGACGGCCGTCCACCGCGGGGCTCATCCTCAACACTCTGTCGGCCAATTTTGAAGATTTTGTGCCACTTAAAAACTGCAGTTTGTAACATGCTTTCATCCTTGGACACTTGGCGAATCATGCCCAACGTCTCCGTACCCGATTTCCCCAGTCCAACACAAAACTTGATGGCGTACCTCTGTTCAATCGTTCGCTGCATTCTGCGCTTGCACCAACTCACTCAACAGGGGTCCACTGAAAACACAGCCTGGCCTCGACGAACGCGCTGAGGCGAATGGCACTTGGCGAGTGTTAAAGGTTAGACCCCCACTACCATGCCTGCGCGGTGCGAGCGTGCTGCAGTGTACAGTCACGTAAGGGAAAGATTTTCCCGATACTTTTTATACGGACCTTGTACACTCCTTCCACTTCTGAGGAAATTCTTTCTTATGAGCCGATCCCTTTGGCTCATTGGTTGTGGTGCCCTCTCCAAGTGGCGGCAGCCGCGGGTCACACAATTTTTCCCTATCTTTCCTACTACCTATCCTTATTCCGTGGCGTATTCTACGTCATCACTCCGCTATCCTTTCTGATTCGGCTGAGGCACCCGGTCTCTTCTGCCTGGAGAGTCATCGTGTACGGACGTCTCGCTCCGTAACTAAATTCTGTTTGGGTCGGCGCCATGAAAGATTCGGTTTGGTAGCTAAACTCCAGGCAGGAGGGCCCATCTCGAGGTAATGCACATAATACTAGCGTACTGAGTATTGTTCTTGCAGGAATTGTGTAAGCTGAGAATGTATATATAGGTTTTGTCTGTATTGTGTGTGCAGGCGATTTCAGAGATGGTATTATGCTAGGGTGAAGTTTGTAATTAAGTATGCCTTATATGTCGCTTGTGGCGGAGACAGCCTGTGCGAGTTGTGATAGGATATCTTGTGGCTGATTATGCCGATTAATTCTAGTGTTTTCTTTTGGCACAAATTACTGGTCATATATTAAATGTTATTTGACTTTCTTGTTTACTGCTTGCTTTTTTTTCTTTTGAGTAATGGACAACAGAAGACCCGTTCCCCAGCTGGTGGGGTGGGGGCTCACTTATTCCAAACAGAATTACGAAGTTTACTGTCCTAGAATGTCATGTTTTATCTCCTGCTTGAATCAGCTTTGCTAAAATTTGAGCAACACCTGGCAAACTATACTTTTCCAACATTTAACAGAAATTTCAGCCACAAAAAGGAACATGCTCAGGTACTAATGGTTCAGATGTATTTCACTCTGCATGTACTTTCAACAGCTGAGGGGAGTAATTCTTCCATTTATTCAAAATGCTGTGGCAATCTGCAAGTAGATCACCATTCTCATCCACTACAAAGTTAGCTCCATGTTAGTAACCCTTTCTGAACTAATTTATGCCTCTAATGAAGTTTGTAATGTTCTTGTTCTTACTGCATTTTGCTAGTTCATTATTTTTGTCTTTCAGGTAGTCTTCCTTTTTGTTCCTGAAATGTACTGGCTTCATGTCTCACCCTGTTTAGATTTGGTCCTGCAACCATTCCAATTTGGCTCGTTCCATTTGACGTAATAGTTCACCAAACCACAGCAGATGCTGCTTGATTGTAAGGAGCTAAAATGCTTGTATTCTCTCAGAACAACTTCCAAGCCCCCTTCATGTTACAGGATTAACTCAGTTTTCCAAATATGTGAACCCATGACTATATTTTTCTATCTCACACCTACTGGTTCAATGGCATCTTATCCCATCTGACCTCCTGTACTCTCACGAAACTTAAACTTATATTTTGCCAAGTGTCTTGCAACTGGTGTCAATGAAGCTGCTTACGTTCGTAAGTCCATTTTCCATTGTTAGGTAAATCCAAAGAATCCATCCAAGTCTGAGGTCAGTGTATCATTTCATAACAAGCCAGTTTTTATGGTAATGGGTTAACCCAACACTTAACTTCCTAACCAGAGAAACACCCTCTGTCAGCTGTCCATGACCACTTATTCAGTACATCCGCAGCTAATCTACATATCTGGAGGCCATTTCCTCCATCTGCAACATAGGGATCTACCATGCCATGATGACGTGGGGTCTACTTAATACAGTGATCTGTTCAAACCTTTCCTTCAAAATTATTCTAAAGCCTATTGTTGAGGAATGTGGTAAGTTCAACAGGACGAAAATTCCAAACTTCTCGTAAGCGCTTCACATACAAAATTACACAAAAAGCTAACAGAACAGTACAAAAGTAACAAGGTGTGACTTTAAGGGTGTGGAAAGGGCTGCTCCATAACTCAAGTGGTCAGTCGCTGGCTTTCCACCGCGACGGCCCAGGTTCGATCCCGGGTCTGGTCTAGTGGGATTTGTGGTGGACAAAGTGGAGGTGGGCCAGATTTTCTCCAAGTACTTCGGTTTCCCCTGCCAATCTTCAATCCACCAAATGCTCCACAATCACCCTCACCTATCATCTGGGGCTGGTATAATAGGCTAAAAGTGGCCGCAGTACAAGGGACTTAGTCCCACCCCACTAGCAATAAAAAAAATAAGGGTATAGTATGCTAGTAAGACATTCTACTTCTTTCACTTCATGTACAGAATTCCTAAAAAGGGATCACTGATGATGATGATGACAACAATGTGGTTGATTCTGTACTCCAGCATCCCGTTGCAATTGTTCACATTAGCGTCCATTTGTCTATATCCATCTACATTGCAACACTTGTTTTACACTTCAATATATTCTTTAACACTTAACACTGTGTGATCAATATTAGTTTTATTTTGATCATATATTATCAGTATGTCATCAACATATCTAAAATATGCAATTATTTGGTGCTTTATTAGAATGGAATATATTTGTGTGTGCTCCATATGTTGTATGCATGTTTCTGCCAGTATTGATGATGTTGGTGCTTCCATTGCTAGTCCGTCTGTTTGTTTCTTTGTAATATTCTTGGTCAAATTGGAAATAATTTTGATCAATTATTATCATGACTTCTTTTTGTATATTCGTTTCATTTCCTAGATTTTCTAGTGTTTTATTTATCATGTTTTTAATACCCATTTTCGGTATGTTTGTATACATATTCTCTATATCAAATGAACAAACTTTCATATTCTTGTTGAGCACGATGTCTTTTAGGTCTGTCATTAGCTGTATAGAATTATGAACATTATATGTATTTGGTAATTGTAAGTAGTCGTTTAATGTTTTTGCTAGTTGTTTTGCCAATTTGTAAGCAGGGGCATTTTTCCAGTTGATTATAGGTCTAATATGTGTGTTTTGTTTATGTAGTTTTATTGTAGCATGTAAGTTCGGGGCTATGGGATTCATGTTTGTGTATCTCCATCTGTGTCCTTTTGGTATGATGTTATTACAATGTTTTAGTGTTTGTTTTATGATTTTCTGGTATTGTTGAGTTGGATCGTTTTTTATCTTTTGAAACTGGCTATCTTGTATGAAACTTTTTACTTTATGTTTGTATTCATCTTGTGTTAATATCACTAGTATTTTCCCTTTGTCTGCTTTAGTCTGATTAAGACCCAAAATGCAGAAAATACAAACAATAATGTCAATTATACTAGAGCAGAAAACTGCACAAACATACAATTCACACATGGAGAAATACAATTATTAAATAAAGGTTTGAAATACAACTTACACCAAAAGAATAAAACTGGATCGAAACATTAGCGCTTGAAGCTGAAACAGCAATAAGTAACCTTCATATAACAGAACAAAATTACTATAGGCATGCCATAGCAAAAAAGATAAAAGATCATCATCATCAGTAATCTGTCAAGACGACAGGTCCACAGTCTCTTCCAAAACAATTCCTCCACTTAATGCGATCTAGAGCTTTCTCCTTCAAATGACAGTATCCTCTTCTGTCCCCAAGGTCATCCAGCATCTTCTTACGTCTTCTTCTTCGTCTTCTTGTCACTTCTATCCGCCCCTCTATCTTTCCTTCGATAACTTCTTTTAGAAGGCAGTTTCTGCGTAAAACATGACCAATCCAATTAGCCTTCCGTTTTCTTATTTCGTGTAGGATATTCCTCTGCTCACTGACTCTAATTAACACTTCTTCATTTCTCACATAATCAGCCCAACTGATCTTCTCCATCCTTCTCCAACACCACATTTCGAAACTTTCCAGATGTTTCTGATCTACTGCCCTAAGTGTCCATGTTTCAGCCCCATACAGAGCTATGCTCCAAATGTAGCATTTCACTAGTTCCTTCCTCAAATTTAAGTCCAAGATAAAAGATATTAATAAGAATAACAACACAAACAATAAAAAGAATACAGATGAATGGAAACAAATAATGAACATAAAAAAATCTAAAAACAAACTAATAATAACTAAAGCAGACAAAGGGAAAACACTAGTAACATTAACACAAGATGAATACAAACATAAAGTAAAAAGTTTCATACAAGATAGCCAGTTTCAAAAGATAAAAAACGATCCAACTCAACAATACCAGAAAATCATAAAACAAACACTAAAACATTGTAATAACATCATACCAAAAGGACACAGATGGAGATACACAAACATGAATCCCATAGCCCCGAACTTACATGCTACAATAAAACTACATAAACAAAACACACATATTAGACCTATAATCAACTGGAAAAATGCCCCTGCTTACAAATTGGCAAAACAACTAGCAAAAACATTAAACGACTACTTACAATTACCAAATACATATAATGTTCATAATTCTATACAGCTAATGACAGACCTAAAAGACATCGTGCTCAACAAGAATATGAAAGTTTGTTCATTTGATATAGAGAATGTGTATAGGGTATTAAAAACATGATAAATAAAGCACTAGGAAATCTAGGAACTGAAACGAATATACAAAAAGAAATTATGATAATGTTAAGTACAATAATTGATCAAAATTATTTCCAATTTGAGCAAGAATATTACAAAGAAACAAACAGACGGACTAGCCATGGGAGCACCAACATCATCAATACTGGCAGAAACATACATACAACATATGGAGCACACACAAATATATTCCATTCTAATAAAGCGCCAAATAACTGCATATTTTAGATACGTTGATGACATACTGATAATATATGATCAAAATAAAACAAATATTGATCACACAGTGTTAAGTGTTAAAGAATATATTGAAGTGTAAAACAAGTGTTGCAATTTAGACGGATATAGACAAATTGACGCTAATGTGGTTGATGATATTTTTCTATATAGGATAAACATGCAAAGAAAGGTAATCTTACGTCTTTGTTCAGATAGCTGAGGAGGGATTCTGTCTCATTAAGAAGAGTGACGGAACATTTGCCCCTGATGTGAGTCGCAGGGAGCGTCTCCACCTGCCGAGACAGAAAGAGTTCCCGGTGTTTCAGCTGGTGACGCTGCTTCCCATTTAATTGTTGCTCCTTTTCTCTACCCTGACTCTCACACTCCTCTTCTAAGGCACCTGAAACACAAAACGTAAAACGTATTTCTTGTGGCCACTTTAACTTCAGTAAGTCTATAGAGTTATTTGAAGTTTATATGAATATAATATTGTTGGGGTCAACACCACATTTACGTACTTTTTGATTACTTCCAAACAAAAGTATAAACATCTTATATGAGAACATGTACGGTATGATCAACACTACCTTCATCAAATATAACAGTCTGGCACCTTTGGAAAATAACAATGTAGGGGCCACACAAAATATATCAGTCTGATGAATAGCTGCACCTTGAAATGAGAAATCGGTGTACTGACATGTAGAAAGGCATCCTGGTACAGATTTGTAACTTTGCCATAAATCATAAAACCCTGAGAAAGGCATATTAATTCCATCATTTTTTCATCATTTAATGACAATTTGTGAACTAAATATTTTATAAAGTAACAATTGCCATAATGACTGTGAATATAAATTAGGAATATTGAAGAAAGTAGTCATAGCCTTCTTTAAAGTAATAAGTCTGTCAGAAGGACTAAGGAAAGCACAAAAATTCTCAGTTGGTATACTTGGTCAATGAGCCAAGATTCAAGCCAGAGACTCCCAAAATATAAAAAAGCAGCATTAACCACTGTGGCACTCAGTCTGCAGTGAACAACTGTTGGTTGTAATAATATAAGTTTGAAACAAACTTATTAACTTCATGGAAATTATAATGTGTTTTACATATCTGCAACCCAGGTCCTTTGGAAATTTATAATAACGCAAAAGGCCACTGTCATGTGCTTTCACATCACAGTGAATGGTAGTAATCATTAATGAATAATGAGGAAAGGATTTGAAAGCAGTTGTGGCCTATTCAGGGTATAATTTTGGCATCTGCCTGCAGAGATTCAGGAAATCCGCAAACATTTTCGGCAGGATATTTCGTATCTCAGCAGCGATTCGAACTTAACGCCCTCAGCATATAAGTCTAGAGTGTTAACGCTACACTAACCTGTTCGGCTGAGTGCTTGTAATACTCCACCTTCAAACCATGCCAAATAATATTAAAACCAATGAAATTACGACTTTTTGGACAAGTTCTGGGAAACCAGCTCGGTGTCGAAGTTATTGGATTTGAAAACGTTCATTTAAATGTGAGACTTGTCTTCTGGAGGAAAGCATTTACAATTATTTAAGACCCTTCACGGCTAAAAGTAATGTATTACAGAAGAAGTATTATTACACCACGATTGAGACTGGACGCAATGTCGGAGCTTTAGAAGCTGCTACCATATGGAATGGCACAAAGTAAGACAAGTCAGGCACAGGAAATCGAAAATAAATACGCGCAAGATGAATTAATTTTTTGCCAAACAATTCCCCCAGCCATGAAAAATACAATGACACCCAAAAATCAACAAATGAGTCCCTACACACTTACAATGGTGGTCGCCCCTCTCTGCTTCAATGAATACGATAATTCGATATACCTACCCTACACGTTCCAAACCGCAATTTGTGCGGCAATTCTGCTCTATTAGATATTCAAAGATATTCGATCCTCTGCGTAACAAGGCTCTCGAACATTGCTTCGGAAATTTATCCATGGCTAATACACCCTCCAAAAACGCCTCCGCAATACTCGTTGAATATAGTGACGTAAAAAAAACACTTCGACAACCCGACAAAGAAAAATCTCATTGAAACTAAATCGATTACTTGTAATATAATAATAATATGAACTAATATGTTTTCCTTTTTTCGAACTACTATCGTAAAACTGGAACTGAAAACAATAAATATGAAGGCTATGGCTTTAGCTGGCGACCATGCTGTTTTCCCCATAGTTTGGGGCCGTCACGATTGTGATCTGCGGAGGCAACTACTTTCAGTGCCGCGCCGGTCCGGGTCCGTTCAATCTTGTTCCAGATACTTCAACTGTGGTCGCTTGTTCATGATTATAACCTACTTTTAACACCCTTGGAAGGGCGTTTGGATATTTTCATTAGAACATAATATTAATGCACAGCATGGTATTAACAAATAGTACATATTTTCTTACGCGAATCAGTAACGTCCCTGTCAGTATGTAAACGGCAAGTCAAGTGTTTGGCCAAGGCTCGAATTAAGTCCGCAAACTTTCCTGCGGTTTTCACCCACCAAGACATGGTTTTAATTGTAGCATATTAAACCCGGGGTCTTAAACTCTGGCTTTCAGAGGTTAGGGGCTGACGACGACTTTGGTCCGTCGCAGAATTTTCACAACAGACTTCTCCACAAGAGTTCGATGTTCATGTCAGCAAATAAAGCGATGCCTATACGGCCGGCCAGATAATGGACAACAATGGACACTGCTCATCTGCACTACCAAAAAGCGACGAGAGCCGTCAGCAATAGCTTTCTGCAGCAATCAGACAACGGAGTACCGATATCTCGGTTGAAGTAAAAAGCAAAACAAAGCACCGGCAACCAAGACTGGGGCAGGGTAGGTCTGATGGCACCCCACCATTCCACCCACTCAACAACCCTATGTGCCCAACTTACGCTGGATCAATAAGCCAAAGCGAAAAACGATTCTCTGGAGGATTAGTTCGGACCACACTTTCTCACTCATTGCACACACAAGCTAAATCCTTTGCGTTTACATGTAAAGCAACAGAACAGAGCAGTATTTTCATAGGGAAAACTGCGATTTTCTTCCATTTTTCGTATCTAACACGACTCTATCAGAGCTAACAATTAACTTAACACAGCTGGACGTCACAAATTCCTTCTCGAAATCAAATTCTGTTGCTGTCTGAACCCTGCTGCACCCACGAATGGAGAGCATTTTGAACTGGGGAACAAACCCCAAAGGCTTAACTTGTATTTCATTTACTTCGCCGTCATCAACACGAATATTTGCAGAAAAGTACAAATTACTTTTGAAAAGCTTAAGTACAGGAGGAGTTTTCGAGGAGAATACAACAAACACGGCAGTGTTAGTGAGTCAATGCTCTACGCAGACTGCGATGCAGCCATACTGAAGCTGCAATTTCACTGCTATCTTCAATGCATACAGCTTACTCACTTCTGTAACATAAAGGTAAAGGCAAAGCTGTCCCTGTGCTTAATTAGCATAAAGACATATGGTGGAGTGAAGGTATAGTTCTACCACTCCTGACCTCAGCATTAGATAGAGGTGAATGGTAAGCTCCACGCCCCGTCGCTTTAACCCCGGGGAAAGAGACCCCAGTAGCCACTGGACAAGAAGCTGGATGGACCCTGGACACCGGAAGCTGTGAAGAGAAAAAATTGCACTGCCGGGAACAGAACTTCGGCATTGCAGCCTGTAACTATACCGACTGCGCTATCCCAACTCCGCGTCTTTATCGCAGTCTGAAACAATAAAATCTTTCTTATAAAAGAAATGCACCATCAGAGCATAGTTTAATTTTCTTACAATCCTCGCCAATCTGAAATCAAGGTTCACCACCGTAGCCTTAGATTCGCTATAATAATAATGCCTTCATTACTCAGAATGAAGTATGCAATGTTAACACACTGATCAGCAATTTGCCTCCGATCCCTGTCCACAGGATGCCATGCACACGGAGTGAATTGCGTTAATCTCTAGAGGATAATTTCACGTGTTCCACTCTCACTACTACCTACAGCGTGAGCTGTACACGAACACACGGTACAACAGCAGTGGGCTGGTACACCCGAAAGAAAAATGGTGCAGTTCTGGAGCACCAAAATGTCTCTCGCCGCTAAAGTAGTCCGCCACTAAACTGATATCAATAAATCGCTTACTCCATTGGACTGAACGTATTTATTTTGGCACAACAGGACACGGCATCCAAAATGGCCGATGGTGTCCTTAACGTTTCCATTACTCTTGAAACATCAGCATCACAATAGGCATGCTAAATTTATTTTCTATCGCCGTGACTACATTATTACTATACCAGACGTTTTATTTGGCAAAAGTGACTTCATTCCACTGAAATACAGGGTAGTGGAATCAACGTTCACACTTAAATGGTGAAAAGGAGTTGATTTATAGGCGAAACTAAGTTCTCAGCAAAATACTATACGTATAATTCCAAATGCACGTCACTTACTGGCTCAATTAAATGCCGCAACTACATCACAGAGCACTGACCACAGAAAACTCTCTACAGGCATGACCTGTGTGTTCGATGTACATCAGACTTATGGCGAAGGCCCACGATGTTTGTACACCCACAGAATTGAGGTCTCACTTCGAATTAAACCTCACACAAATAACTACGGTTCACCAGATCAGTGCTGACGGCCTCGAACACTGGTCCTCTAGATAAACTGGTATGTGCTACGTGGCTGCGTTCTTCGACGTCTTGGATTGATATAAAGATTTTGCAACAGTTCTACATTCTTCACCCACAATTGCTTTTTACATAACATGAAAGTGAGGACATGAGTTATTACTCGTGACTCCGCTATAAGACGTCATGCCGACAAATGTTTGGTTAGATATCAGAGTCCTGGCCAGCTTTTCTTTTTAAATTCGCTAGTGGGGGGTGGAGTCCAACTTGGTCCACTCGGCACGGCGGCCACCGATTGGCCAATTGTACCTCCCCGGGTGATTATGGTGGAGAATTTGGTGTAATGAAGATTGGCAGGGGAAACCGAAGTACTCAGAGAAAACCTACCCAGCGCCACTTTGTCCACCACAAATCCCACTTGACCAGACTTGAGCTGGGCCACGCCATACCTTTGGCGCGGCCCAGCTCAAGCGGTTAGTCGCTGGCTTCCCACCGCAGCGGTCCGGGTTCGATCCCGGGTCTGGGCAAGTGGGATTTGTGGTGGACAAAGTGGCGCTGGGGCAGGTTTTCTCCGAGTACTTCGGTTTCCCCTGCCAATTTCATTCCACCAATTGCTCCACAATCACCCTCACTTATCATCTGGGGCTGGTAGAATAGGCCAGAAGTGGCCGCAGTACAAGGGACTTAGTCCCACCCCACTAATATTAAAAAAACGCTTGAGCTATGGCGCAGCCTCTACTGGC